CTTCAGTAACAATGATTCATACTGGCACTATTGGAACATTTTAACACTGTATCTGTTATTAGTCTGATACTACACTTTTGGGGTTTTCGGCGTGGTCGGGAGACGCCTTGGTCCGTTAGCCATAGTTGGTGTGGTGCGACCACTCGGCGTTGGTGTTGTTCGACCAGTTGGCGTCTGACGACCAGATCTTGTTGGTGTAGCTTTTGGTGTTGAAGATAGCCGCGGTGTTGACAGTGATGATCTAGGTGGCGTCGGTGTAGTAGATCGACCAAATGCAGTTGATGGCGTAGGTATAGTGGAGCGCCCGAAAGGTTGACGTGGGCTCATATTCCGTGGTGTACCCGTACTGGTTGAAGGTGTGCGTGGCTTTGTTGGAGTAATGTTTGATGATGAACTGCTTAGACTTTGAACAACAAACTTTATATCCAGAGAAGAGACATTGAACACATATAAATAATCAAAAACTGTCAAACTTAACTGCTTAACGCTTTTGAACCAGCACATGACTGAATTTCTTTATATCCGAATGAAGACAAAAACTGTCCATTCTGCTGCTAAAGCAAAGTAAACATATATTTCTGGGACAAAAGCACATTCTTTGCCTATAAATCTATTTCTGAAATTATCAGTTTTCGGACACAAATTAACAGAGTCAATTATAAGATAACAAGGAACTAACCAATTACATGTCCTTATTCAAAGTAAAAATTTGCAGATGTGAAAACAATATTAGACAAGAGCACCGGTAGGCGGAGCATTATATGCCCGAAAGTGTTTTTTTTATATAAAGGATGAAGCATTTGTAAGACATTCCATAAATTAAATAAAGTATTAACTCCTTCCAATAGCAATCCTCCTATAAAGTTTGAATATTGTGGGCCAAATAGATTAAGTTATGCTCCAGAAACTGTTTTCAGTTTTAAAGTAATAGTGAGCTTGACCTTTGACCTTGTGACCCAAAAATCAATAGGGGTATTCTACCCAATATGGACAATCATCCTATGAAGTTTGAATATTGTGGGCCAAATAGACCTTAAGTTATGCTCCAGAAACTGTTTTCAGTTTTTAGTTATAAAGTTATAGTGACCTTGACCTTTAACCTTGTGACCCAAAAATCCATAGGGGTATTCTACCCAATATGGACAATCATCCTATGAGGTTTGAATATTGTGGGCCAAATAGACCTTCAGTTATGCTCCAGAAACTGTTTTCAGTTTTTAGTTATGCTCCAGAAACTGTTTTCAGTTTTAAAAGTAATAGTGACCTTGACCTTTGACCGTGCCACCACAAAATCTATAGGGGTCTCCTACCCAATATGGACAATCATCCAATGAAGTTTGAATATTGTGGGCCAAATGGAACTTAAGTTATCCTCCGGAAACTGTTTTCAGTATTAAGGTAATAGAGACCTTGACCTTTGACCTTGTGACCCCAAAATCAATAGGGGTCTCCGACCCAATATGGACATTCATCCTATGAAGTTTGAACACTGTGGGCCACATGGAACTGAAGTTATGCTCCAGAAACTGTTTTCAGTTTAAAGGTAAAAGTGACCTTGACCTTTGACCTTTTGACCCCAAAATCAATAGAGGTCTTCTAACCACTATGGACAATCATCCTATGAAGTTTGAACACTGTGGGCCAAATGGAACTTAAGTTATGCTCCGGAAACTGTTTTTAGTTTTAAGGTGATAGTGACCTTGACCTTTGACCTTGTGACCCCGAAATCAATAGGAGTCTTCTACCCACTATGGACAATCATCCTATTAAGTTTGAACACTGTGGGCCAAATGAAACTTAAGTTATGCTCCTGAAACTGTTTTCAGTTTTAAGTTGATAGTGACCTTGACCTTTGACCTTGTGACCCCAAAATCAATAGGGGTCTTCTACCCAATATGGACAATCATCCTATGAAGTTTGAATGTTGTGGGCCAAATGAAACTTAAGTTATGCTCCGGAAACTTCTTTCAGTTTTAAGGTGATAGTGACCTTGACCTTTGACCTTGTGACCCCAAAATCAATAGGGGTCTTCTACCCAATATGGGCAATCATCCTATGAAGTTTGAATGTTATGGGCCGAATGGAACTTAAGTTATGCTCCGGAAACCAAATTGCTAACGGACGGACGTACAGACGGACGGACAGACGGACGGACAGACGGACAGACGCCAGGGGGTATAACATAAAAATCAATGACCCCCGGGGTGGGGCCAATTTTGACCCCAGGGCTTTTATTTTAACAAACTTTGTAGAAACTTACTAGAAGATGTTTCATGCTTAATATCTAAACTCTAGCTATTTGGGTTTTTTCAAAGAAGATTTTTAAGTCTTTGCTATACACAATGATGAAATTGGATGAAATTGGCTCAGTGGTTTATGAGGAGATGTGATTTAAAGTAAAAGTTTACAGACGACGGACGAAAAGCGATCACAAAAGCTCACCCTGTCACTTTGTGACAGGTGAGCTAACAAGAGCTGTCACAGGAGACAGCCAAGCTCGACTTATAAAATACTGGACGCAGTAAGGAGGACAAAACTATGAAAGAAAAGTCAATATTGTATAATTATGTATTAAGTTATAGTAAAAAAATAACATTTGTTAAAATAAATTCTAAGATCAAGGGAAAAAATTCAAGAAATAGTCATGCTAGAGTTATGAACCTTGTCACACAACATGTATGTAATGATAAGAAGTATATATTTGAAGTTTGAAGTAGATACCTTAAAAATTAACAAAGTTATAATATTTCTTAAAGAAAATCCTAAGTTCAAAGAGAAATAAATCTGTAAAAATTACTTCAAGAGTTATGAACATTGTCACATAAAATATAATTGATTATAAGGAATAAGTATTTGAAGTTAAGGTAGATACCTTTAAAACTAAAAAAGTTATAGTAAAAAATAACATTTTTCTAGTAAAAAAATCTAAGTTGATGAGGAGATAATTCTTGCAATATTGGTGCTACAGTTATGAACCTTGTCACATAAGATGTGGATGATGATAAGGTACATTTATTTGAAGTATGAAGTTGATCCCTTAAGAATAAATAAGTTTCAGTAAAAATTAATATTTTTTAAAGAAAATTCTAAGTTCAAGGGGAGATAAATCTGAAAATATTGGTGTTAAAGTTATGAACCTTGTCACAAAAGATGGGGTTGATGATAAGGTACATATATTTGAAGTATGAGGTTGATCCCTTAAGAAATAAAGAAGTAGCAGTAAAAAATAGTATTTTTTAAGGAAAATTCTAAGTTCAAGGGGAGATAAATCTGACAATATTGGTGCTAGAGTAATGAACCTTGTCACATAAGATGGGGATGATGATAAGGTACATATATTTGAAGTATGAGGTTGATCCCTTAAGAAATAAAGAAGTAACAGTAAAAAATAGTATTTTTTAAGGAAAATTCTAAGTTCAAGGGGAGATAAATCTGAAAATATTGGTGCTACAGTTATGAACCTTGTCACATAAGATGTGGTTGACGATAAGGAACATATATTTGAAGTTTGAAGCTGATACCTTAAGAAATGACAAAGTTATAGTGAAAAATATTTTACTGCACCAAAACTTTAATCTGAAATCTGGACGCGGACGCAGACGCCGGGGCGAGTAGGACAGCTCTCCATATACTTTGTATAGTCGAGCTAAAAATACATCCTGGTGATTAATGATATCACAGCCAAGTGCCGCTTGTATATACAGCATATGTACCCTGTTAATTAATATTTTACAGCCCAGTGGCGCTTATATATACATTTATACATCTATTTATCTATGAAATAAGTTACTGGGAAAAGGTCTTTATTTTTTTACCGTAAGAATAGATTTTTAATATCAAAATCATCTTATTATCCTCTGTTGCGAATCTAAAATTATAAAAGTTAATGCCACATGGTTTTTGTTCTTCGGGGAATATTTATAAAATTATATCCGTCACTGGTTCTTTGAAATATTTTTATACAGCATAATGAACAAGATTGCATTTTAGAAAATGCTATGCCACCACATTAATACAACACTAAATAGAAGTGTAGGAACAAATACTGTTGAAGAACGGGTCTTTTATTAACCTCGTATATTATTGTCTGGATGAGCCGTTACTAATGCAAAACTAATAATGTATTACTATGAACTGCTAGCATTCCCTTGCAGAAAGATAAGCAGACGACAGTCTAATTTCATGACTACATCAAAGGGCAACACAGAAGGACACTTTTGTCAAAATTTAGGTCAGCTGATATCAAAGTTCACTTTACATCTTAATCTGCGCACATGGTTCAAATTTCATAGCTGTACATCAAAGGACAAGAAAGTAGGTCACATAATCAAAATCTAGGTCACTTTCAAATTGTTGATGGGAAATGTGATTTTTTCTGCATATTTCTGTTGAAATTTTAGCATTTTTACAGGATGAAAGGCCAATATGTGACGGTAGATTTTAGGGAAAAAAAACAAATGGAAATGTGCAGACATGTACAGTACGATATTTCGGTCACAAAATAGTACATTAAAAACAACATTAGTTTCCATTTTTTCTTTAACACTTTATCAGTTTTGAGGGGGAATTTTTACCTCTGTTAGGGGGAAAAAAACATTCTATTTAGTGGGAGACTGCGCCGATTATCGGTTGCAGATTTTGTTGATCGAGGCCCAGTGTTACTAGTCATCTAAGGATGGCTACTAGCCACATGGGTTCAAACCCGGTCTGAGGAGCAAGCCTTTGTTTCTTTGAGCTCAGAAACATAACACTATAATTTCTCAGTACTGGTTGGTTCCAGGAACAGGTTTCAGAGTGAGTTTATAAGCTGATAGATTGTTTCACAATCAAACTAAAATAAATTCTGTATTGACTAAAGGATACATTTCAAATTATTAAAATTATAAAGGGGCTTACTTAAATTACAAAAAAGTATATAATACCTACCTGGGGAGTCACAGCACGTGCAATAGTATTTTTTTTTGAAGGGGTGGACAGGTGATAAATTGGTGTAGCTGTAAAACAGATATATCAAAATTATGACAATGAGCAACATGTACTACAATATATGCAGTGATAATGCCAGGCGACTGGTCACATGAACGTTTTTTGGTTTATAGATTGTTTCACAATCAAACTAAAATAAATTCTGTATTGACTAAAGGATAAATTTCAAATTATCATACCTGATACCATACATGTAAAAGAACTGTAATAAGAGTGATGAGCACTTAATGTAACAAGAATGAGAGCTATTTCAAATCAACAGGCAAGTTGTTAATGGTGATACAATAATTAAAGGAAATATTGAACAAATTATCTCACAAGATATATTTATATAGTATTGCATAAAAGGGAAACAACTCCTATTACATTTTTAAATGAAAATGGTGTGATATTATCAAAGGGGCTTACTTAAATTTCAAAAAAAGTATAAAAAACCTACCAGCAGCGCCTGGGGATACATCACTGAATACATTATCTGTGTAGGGTGTAACTGTCAAACAGATATATCAAAATTATGACAATGAGTAACATGTACTACAATACAATACATATGCAGTGATAATTCCAGGTGACTGGTCACATGAACGTTTTTTGGTTTACTACTGTGTTCAAATCATCCAATAAAACACATACACATGTAACTATGTCTCAAAATAAAGTGTGGGACTTAATTTATTCTTATTTGCAATCTGCAAGCATTTTGTCCCCAATAACTTATACTGACTGTGAAAAAGTGTAAATTAAAATTATTTGATCAAATTTAAAATCTGCAAAAGGTTCCAAATGCACTATGAAAGTATGAACTTTTGAAAGATTCTTAAAACTTAGAACTTAAAGATTAAAACATAGAGAAAAGTAAGCATGTGTAAATGCATTCGATGCATGACAGTACTAAATAACCTCAACAAAACACAAGACAAGTAAAATTTCACAACCTTGACAAAATATAGTACACAAATCAAATATACAGTTAAAGAGATCTTTCTCATAAAGAGTACAAAACAATACATATATTCACAACATGCTCATGCATATTAAAGATTAAAAGCAACAAAATTATTTTCTTAATTTTTTTCATTGCTTGGCTTTACACTGCACAAAATATGCCATGTTTAAATCATTATTTCAGGTATGTGCATGCTGTTAAAACATTACACCAGGTATATGTGTGCAATTCAAACATTATTTCAGGCACAATTAAATGCCATTTAAACTAATATTTTAGGTTATAATAACAAAAATATTCCAGGAACATCTAGGCCATTCCAAGCATTTATTTAGGACATAATTATTTAAATGTCAATCCAAACATTATTTCAGGACATGTATTTATTACATGTATAAATGCAGAACAAATGTCAAATACAATCATAACAAGAAACTTAAAAACAAAGTGTTCTCATGGTAATGTTTTTTCATTTTTTTTATATCAATAAATGCAATTGAAATCAAGAACACTTTTAATTATGACAATGGGCTATATTCTTTACAAGGATACATGCTTTTGTAAAATCTTTATATTTTCGTGGGAATATTTTAGTCCTTTTCTTTTTTTTTATTGTGATAATAATTTATTAAAGAGGTTTATTGACCTGTTACCTTGAAAACATCATACAATGTATAATGGACAAGACAGATTTGAATTTGGAACTCTTCATTAATATTTTTAGGGGTTTCAGCATCCATAACTTACCAGACTAAAAAATTGTTTTAGACTTGTTCATTACTATTTAGGTGGTTTCACAAAATTTGTTGATACTGTCCATTTTTATAAAACACAGTTTCAATACCAACAAGAGCTGTCGGTAGGACAGCACGCTCGACTATTCTTAGTGTTTGATAGTAAAAGAGCCTTGATAATTTTTAAATTTTTTAAGTTCACAAAAGGGCTAATTTTTTTTTATAAATTCATGTTATATGCCTTAGAGAGAGTCTAATTATACAGTATTGGCTTGACTATTCGGAAGGTAATGTAACAAGGGTGTTTTATTGAGTATAATAATACTAATTACCTATGAATTCAAAACTTTGACAGAAAAGGTACAAAGGCTTGTTATTAAGATGTTTTATCAAGTAAATCACTGCTTTATTATTATAATGCATAAAATTGTCCCAAAAAAGGCACAAATCCTTCAGTAGTTATTGAGATAACAGCTTACAAGCAAAACTTTACCATGAATTTCTAAGTTGAAAAAGGGGAGAAAAATCAGCCTAAATGCAAGATAGAATTATGGATCTTTGTCAGTGACCTACAATTATGACCCTAAATGCATATGTGAAGTTTTAAATAAATATCTTTAATAGTTATTGAGATATGTAAAACTTGCATGTAAACATTAACCAAAAGACTAAGTAGAAAAGGGGATATGAATCAGCCTTAATGCAAGATAGAGTTATGGAACTTGGTCAGTGACATACAATTATGACCCTCCAATTATGACCCTAAGTGCATGTGTAAAGTTTCAAGTAAATATCTTTGAAGACCTTTAACCTTTAACCAAAATTTCTAAGTTTCAAAGGGGCAAATAATTCTGCAAATATTGCAGGCAGAGTTATGCAATTTTGCAAACTGATGTACATTGTTACTATAAAAAAGTATTTTAAATTTCAATTGAATATCTCAAGCAATAATTGAGATATTTGACTTTAGAAAAAAACTTTAACCAAAATTTCTAAGTTAAAAAGGGGCATAATTCTGTCAATATTGTAGGCAGAGTTATCCAACTTGTCAATCTGATGTACCTTGTTACTATAAATAAGTATTGTAAGTTTCAATTGAATATCTCAAGTAATAATTGAGATATTTGACTTTACAAAAAACTTTAACCAAAATTTCTAAGTTAAAAAAGGGGCATAATTCTGTCAATATTGTAGGCAGAGTTATCCAACTTGTCAATCTGATGTACCTTGTTACTATAAATAAGTATTGTAAGTTTCAATTGAATATCTCAAGTAATAATTGAGATATTTGACTTTACAAAAAACTTTAACCAACGCAGACGCCGACGCCGGGGCGACTACAATAGCTCTCATATTCTTCGAATAGTCGAGCTAAAAATTAAAAAATAAGCAAACCTATATTATAACAAGAGGACCATGATGGGCCTGAAGTCGCTCACCTGTATATAGGCCTCCCCCTTCCCCCTGGCAGGGCCAATTTTAACCCAAGGGCTTTTATGTGAACAAACTTGGTAGACACCCATAAGAAGATGTTTCAAACTAAACATCTAAGCTCTAGCTCATTGGTTTTTTTTAAAGAAGATTTTTTAAGTTTTTACTATACACATATAGTTAAGAAAAATGACACCCCTGGGGCGGGGCCAGTTTTGACCCCAGGGCTTTAATTTGAACAAACTTTGTAGACACTCACTAGAAGATGTTTCATGCTTAATATCTAAACTCTAGCTATTTGGGTTTTTCCAAAGAAGATTTTTAAAATTTTTGCTATACACATATAAGGAAAATCAATGACCCCCGGGCGGGGCCAATTTTGACCCCAGGGCTTTTATTTGAAAAAACTTTGTAGACACCCATTAGAACATGTTTTTTGCTAAATATCTTAGCTCTAGCTCTTTGAGTTCTTTAATAGAAGATTTTTAAAGTTTTTACAATATACATATAGGGAAAATCAAGACCCCCTAGGGCGGGGCCAATTTTGACCCCAGGGCTTTTCATTGAACAAACTTGGTAGACACTCACTAGAAAATGTTCCATGCCAAATATCTAAGCTCTAGCTCTTAAGAGTTTTTTAAATGAAGATATTTAAAGTTTTTTCTTTCAGTTGCCATGACAACAAGAGTTTTGCGTGGAATTAAATTCTTAAAACAATATACGGTGACCACCAAAGGCACATTCCTGTGAAGTTTGGGGAAATTGGCTTAGTGGTTTATGAGGAAATGTCATTTAAAATAAAAGTTAATGGACAGACGGACAGACAACGGACAGACGCCGGACGAAAAGCCATCACAAAAGCTCACCCTGTCACTTTGTGACAGTTGAGCTGACAATAGAACATTGAATTTTTTTCCAACATTACACAACTATTTAAATTTTTTGTCTTATCATATAAGATCGTAAAAAATTAATTTAAAATTGTAATAAAAGTAAAAAATTTACCTGGTGTACGGTAAACAAAGTCAAATGCTTCGTCCCAGTAAGGGCTTGGAGTGCCTGAAGTAATTGAAAACAGAATATAGATGGCTAAAACTTATCATTTTATATGATTTTAAAAAAAAAATGGGTCAAAGATATAAAAGGCCAGGTTGCATTTGTACACTAAATATCATGAGGCTATGATGCTACGAAAAAAAATTTCCATTGACCCATTAATGTCGAAAATTTAATTCAGTAGGTAAACAGGAAGTGGATTAGCTACACACCTAAAATCAAATCCCACAGTATTGGACCATTATCAATGCTGTATGCCAAATATCATGAGGCTGTGATAAGTAGTTTCTCAGAAAAATGTTACGAATTTTTCCTACCATTGACCATAAATATGAACAGGAAGTGGATGAGCTGCAGACTTGAAATCACAGTATGGGACCATGTGTCAATGCTGTATGCCAAATATCAAGAGGCTGTGATAAGTAGTTGCTGAGAAAACTGTTACGAAAATTTCCTACCATTGACCATTAATGTCGAAAAATCTAACTAATTTAACTAAGTGGATAACCAGGAAGTGGATGAGCGACAAACATGAAATCAAATCCAACAGTATGGGACAATATGTCAATGCTGTATGTCAAATATAAAGAGGCTGTGATAAGTAGTTGCTGAGAAAACTGTTACGAAAATATTTTCCCCGCCCGCCTACCGCCCGACATTCACCATACTATAACCCGGATTTGCACCAGTGCAACCCGGCCAAAAACCTTACCATTATATATCTTAATGTAGCTAAACACTAGAAATGTGTCCATATGACACAGGTGCCACCATCACGCTGTTGTTCTGTCAATCTTGACTCTAGGTCAAATATTTTTTGAAAACTAAAAATCTTTTACTTAGTAAAGGGCAAGAACAAATACTGAATAAATCCACAAGCAAACCCCAAGGTGCATAAGTACACATGCTGACCAACATTCTTGTAAACTTTCAGGCCTACAAGTGAAATACTTTTTGAGCTATGCATGAACAAGTATTCCTGTAAAGTTGGTTGATTCTAACTCAAGCACTCAAGGAACAATTCTAACACGACCCGCATTTTTCCCTATTGAACATAGAAGAACAGAAAGTGTGTGTTATTATGCAACAGATGCACAGTTTGACGTTTTATATTTAGAATTGTGAAGTAATCATTATACACGTGACATAACCAAAAATTCTAGGCGCTGAGATAAAGTACGGAAACAAATCACGCGCAATTTTGCTTAACTATCAAGTACGGCAACATTTATTTGTTGATGTTGTGTTAGAATCGAAATAATTAATCCAAATCGCTTGATAAAAATCACTGTTTGTCGTTCGGATGCCCATCATTATATCATATAAAATTCCTCGCATCCGAACTCCAAACGGTGATGTTATTGAGCGAAAAAATCACTGTTTGGAATATATTATTTCTTAAATAACAACATAATGAAATGGTTTTTACTTAGTCAAGGGAATTAACTCAACAAATACTGAATAAATCCACAAGCGCATCCCAAGGTGCAAAACCAAATATGCTGAGCAACCTTCCCATAAGGTTAAATGACTCTTTTGTCAAATCCTTTTTTAGTTACATGCGAAACAAGTTGAAAATTGCAAAAGGTAAATTTCTCTGATTAACAGACAATTAAAAAGTCAAGGGCAATAACTCTAAAAATACTAAATAAATCCAGATAAAAATACGCAGGTGCACAACTACACATGCTGATCAATATTCCTGTAAAGTTTCATGACTCTAGGTCAAATACTTTTTGAGTTAATCTGCGGGTGCGACACAAGTTGAAAGTTGCAAAAGGTATTTTTGTCTGATTAACAGACAATTAAAAAGTAAAGGGCAATAGCTCCTAAAATACTAAATAAATCCAGACGAAAATACCGAGGTGCACAACTACATATGCTGATCAACATTCCTGTAAAATTTCATGACTCTAGGTCAAATACTATTAAGTAACATGCGACACAAAAGAGAACGGACAGATGGTAGGACGGACAAGGGTAAATCTAAATGCCCGCCACTAAAGTGGGGGAACACAAAAACAAATCAAAGCACAGAACGCGCTGAATTTGTTTGGGTCTCAGAATGTAAGAAAGGTGCAGGTTGTGAGATTATATGTTTAGTGCCACCAATGCTTTCCAGCGTTTTAATTGTAGAAAATTGGCTATAAGACTAATTGCAACACTGATATTCAATCCAATGTTTATTTGACTTTAACAATTTAAAAAAATGAGTTACCTTTACTGGGATTTGAACTCCAGACCTCTCGCTTCCTAAGCGAGCCCGAAAACCCTTCAGCCACGGTTAAATTTATATGTGAACGGCCTGAAGAAAACCATATTATTCTAAATTAGGGCTTGTAACGACTTTTAACTGTTGTTTAACACAGATGTAAATAATCCTGAAGCTTACTATAAGCATGTATATTTATAAAGAATCAAAGGGCTTCAAGTTCTTTGGTATTTTCTGATCTTTGCAATCTAAATCGTACTGTATATCTGTATGCATTTTCCTGTATAAGTTTATTTTTATGTATTATAATTCATTTTGTAAGGCACATACGGAATTCTGCATAACTAGAGTTGCATCAAAAAATCATTTATGTACTTTTTTTACGACAGCCACACTTTATCCTTGTAAATCATGGCTACTTCCTAAACAAAAACAATTAAAAAAAGAATTTAACAAAAAAAAAATTTCCTCGACTGGGATTCGAACTCGAGACGTCTCACTCACTAAGCGAGCGCGTTACCACTGTACCACGGAGAAGTTATACACAGAAAGTCTGAATAATATCAAGTCATTCTAAATTTAGAACTTCCATTGCATTCAGGTTTGTAATCCTTATTTATTTCGAGGTATTTTGTTCAGGGTAAACCTGTTGTTTAAAATTGAAGTAAATATTTTAGCGAAAATCCTCTCGCCCAAACAGTCCGACATGTAGAATCTATATATTCCACTACTCGGTTTGTGTAGTATTCGGTAATCTACATGGCTAAAAATAGTATTTTCATTGATAAAATCATATTCATCCGCGTAATTTGTGATTGTGCATTTATTGACAATTCTATAAGCCAACGCTATTGTTTAACTTTAAATGCGTTGTAATTTGTTGGATACTTGTAACAAAATAAAATATTTCTTTCTTTTAAATCGCTAGTTTTAAGCTGTTTTGAGAACTACTTGTTGTTAGGTTTGTCATAAACTTCTGTGTCAGAGATTGAATGTCCGCTTTGTATTTAGTTATTTTCGATCAGAAAATACCAGAAAACAATATTAGAAATCTTCGACCATTCGGGAATTACTTTGCTTGAAAATTGATGCGCCTGTCTTTGACCATCTTTACGCAGTGATCTCCCCTGAATTTTTCGGCTTTAGTGTACATACAAAAGGGAAGTAACCGCTTCAAAAAAGTGGACTACTTTTGGCATTTGCAATTAAGAACATTAGACTCTGAAATTTCGCTACCATTATTTGTTTGGTCTGACGACCCAAACAAATAAAAACAGTAGTCACTGACTACTGTATAATATCTACATTCAAACTTGGAGAAAGTTTCTTTTTTGTTTCAGTATATGTGATCACTTATAATATTGAATTTCCCAAGAAAAAAAAGGCAATAAAACTTTAAACAAGAACTGTCGGAGGACAGTACTGGCTAGACTATTCGAAAAAGTTGTCACAATGGTGTTTTATTGAGCATAATAATGCTAATTACCTATAAATACATAAAATTGACCGAAAAGGCTTCATTGTTATTAAGATGTTTTATCAAACAAATCACTACTTTATTATTATGAATGCATTAATTTGTCCCAAAAAAGGCACAAACCTTTCAGTAGTTATGGAGATAACAGCTTACAAGCAAAACTTTACCATGCATTTCTATGTTGAAGAAGGGGAGAAATATCAGCCTAATTGCAAGATAGAATTATGGATCTTGGTCAGTGACCTACAATTATAATTCTTAATGCATATGGGAAGTTTTAAATAAACATCTTTAATAGTAATTGAGATATGTAAAACTTGCATATAAACATTAACCAAGAGACTAAGTAGAAAAGGGGAGATGAATCAGCCTAAATGCAAGATTGAGTTATGGAACTTGGTCAGTGACATGCAATTATGACCCTCCAATTATGACCCTAAGTACATGACTGTGTAAAGTTTCAAGTAAATATCTTTGAAGACCTTTAACCTTTAACCAAAATGTCTAAGTTTTAAAAGGGCAAATAATTCTGCAAATATTACAGACAGAGTTATCCAACTTGTCAATCTGATGTACATTGTTACTATAAATAAGCATTGTAAGTTTCAATTGAATATCTCAAGCAATAATTGAGATATTTGACTTTACAGAAAACTTCAACCAAAATTTCCAAGTTAAAAAGGGGCATTATTCTGTCAATATTGTAGACAGAATTATCCAACTTGTCAATTTGATGTACATTGTTACACTAAATAAGTATTGCAAGTTTCAATTGAAATTGAATATCTCAAGCACTAATTGAGGTATTTGAATTTTACAAAATACTTTAACCAACACAGACGCCGACACAGATGCGGATGCCAGGGGGACTTCAACAGCTCTCATATTCTTCGAATAGTCAAGCTAAAAATTATATATTAAATATGAAAACATGGATAAATTTATCAGTAATCAAAGCTTGAATTAATTCTTTACATTCTCAAGCAAATTTATGATCAATTTTACAAAACTGCCTGCTAAGCTGTTCATAACTTTAATGGTGGAGGAGCCCTTGTGTGCCTCTCTGTGCCTTATTTCAGGCACAAAAGGGCATCTGAGTTGAACCACCGATGTTCCTTCAGCCAGCTGGAAAGCTACCTCACATGAAAGAATCTAAAGTCTCTGGCGGGATTTCAACCCACAGCAAGTGATATGAAGTCAGTATTGTTAATCATTTGGCCAGGTACACCCCATCCTCATTTTAACAAGCAATTATCATAGTATTGCAAGCAATCCATAAGTCCCCTACCGGATAGAACCCCATCAGCATTCTGAAGGGCCATTGGCCATTCACTAATGTGTAAATTTTTCTCTATTTTAAGTAAATTTGTTGGAAATGTTCTTTAAAAGTGATCACAGGAAAAAGTTTTTAAGAACAGACAGACTGAAGGACACTCCAAAGTTAATATTTGAAACATCCCTGTTACCAAAATATAACATTTTAAAAAGCAAAATTCTTAAAGAGGAGATAACTCTGGAATTAAAGATGCAATTTCATAAAAAGTTTCAGCTCTTTTTGACTATTCACAAATATTGTTATATTTGCCATGTTTTAAGCCTATTTGTTGCCAAGGCAACCAATATTTTTTCAAAATAGGAAGAACAGATAAGACAGGCATAATCTCAAGACTGCCATCTATGATCTACCCACATGTCAAGTTTCATAAAAATATTTCCAGTACTTTTTGAGTTATCACTGGATTCAGTTTATGTGTAAAATTTGCCATATTTTCAGTCTATGTGTTGCCATAGCAACCAGAATTTTCAACATAGGAAGAAAAGAAAAAGACATGTATAATCTCCAGACTGCCATCTACACATAGTACAAGTTTCATAAAAATATTTCTATTATTTTTGCGTTAACACTGGATCCAGTTTATGTGTAAAAATTGCCATATTTTCAGTCTATTTGTTGCCATAGCAACCAGAATTTTCAACATAGGAAAAAATGAAAAAGACGTGCATAATCTCCATACTGCCATCTATCCATATGTCAAGTTTCATAAAAATATTTCCAGTACTTTTTGCGTTATCACTGGATCCAGTTTATGTGTAAAATTTGCCATATTTTCAGCCTATTTGTTGCCATAGCAACCAGAATTTTCAACATAGGAAGAAAAGAAAAAGACGTGCATAATCTCCATACTGCCATCTATCCATATATCAAGTTTCATAAAAATATTTTCAGTACTTTTCAAGTTATTGCGGGATCCAGTTTTGTGGACGGACGGACTGACGGACTGACAGACAGACGGACGGACAGACGGACAGAGGGTAAACCTAAAGTCCCCTCCGGTAAACCGGTAGGGTACAAGTTTCATAAAAATATTTCTATTACTTTTTGCGTTAACACTGGATCCAGTTTGTAAAAATTGCCATATTTTCAGTCTATTTGTTGTCATAGCAACCAGAATTTTCAACATAGGAAGAAAAGAAAAAGACGTGCATAATCTCCATACTGCCATCTATCCATATATCAAGTTTCATAAAAATATTTCCAGTACTTTTTGCGTTATCACTGGATCCAGTTTATGTGTAAAATTTGCCATATTTTCAGCCTATTTGTTGCCATAGCAACCAGAATTTTCAACAAAGGAAGAAAAGAAAAAGACGTGCATAATCTCCATACTGCCATCTATCCATATATCAAGTTTCATAAAAATATTTTCAGTACTTTTCAAGTTATCGCGGGATCCAGGTTTTGTGGACGGACGGATGGACAGACGGACGGACAGACGGACGGAGGGTAAACCTAAAGTCCCCTCCGGTAAACCGGTAGGGGACTAATTAGTACTGGTAGATGGACGTAGATTGCCTCGTCTATACCCTTACTATGAACATACCTTCTTCATCAACAGCTCTGCCCAGATCTTTCTGCCAGTCATCTTGCCATACCCAACCAGCTGGTAACTCCATCTCTGCCTCAGAGGGTGACTGGTCACCTTTCTGTAAATACAGCACACAAATCTCAAATTCTTTAGTTAATTTTGAATAAAGTAAAATTTATTGGGTCCAAATACAATACTTTAGTTGTTATTGTGGGTTTTTTTTATTTACATCATGTGAAAATGTCTAAAAAGAATGTTTGCTTCTTTCATGATTTATTTTTGTTACCCAAAGTTACTTTGCATGAATAGCACTGGGATATTCTAAATAATTAAGCTTCTTATAGTATGCAGAAGCAATTTATCCCACAAAAACTGACAACAAAAATGGGTCAAAGACAGAAATGGCCCAGTTGCATATGTGTACAAAATATCATGAGGCTGTGATGTTACTTAAATTTTCTACCACTGTCTGACCATTGATGTTGAAAATTTAACTTAGTTGGTAAACCTGAAAAGAATGAGCATCAGACCTGAAATGGAATCCCACAATTTGGGACCACAGTCATGTCAATGCTGTGAACCACATATCAAGAGGCTGTGGTAAGAAGTTGTTGAGAAAACTGTTACCAAAATTTCCTACTATCTATTGATCAATAATATGTCAAAATTTAACTAAATCGGCAAACAGGAAGTGGATGAGCGCCAGACCTGAAATCAAATCGCACAGTATTGGACCACGTGATAATGCTGTATACAAAATATCAAAAGGCTGTGATATATTGTTGCCAAGAAAACTGTTACCAAAATTTCCTATTGTTGACCATTAATGTTGAAAATTTAACTTAGTCGGCTGAGAGACAGACCTAAAATAGAATCCCACAGTATGGGACCATGTGTTGATGCTGCATACAAAATACCAAAAGGCTGAGATATATAGTTGCCAAGAAAACTGTTACCAAAATTTCCTACTATTGACCATTAATGTAGAAAATTTAACTAAGTCGGCAAACAGGAAGTGGATGAGCGACAGACCTGAAATCGAATCCCACGATATGATACCATGTGTGGATGCTGTATACCAAATATCACAAGGCTGTGATAAGTAGTTGCTGAGAAAACTGTTACAAAAATTTCCTACTATTGATAATTAATGTTGAAAATTTAACTAAGTCAGCAAACAGGAAGTGGATGAGCGACAGACCTTAAATCGAATCCCAACAGTATGGGACCATGTGTTGATGCTGTAAACCAAAATATCAAAAGGCTATGATAAGTTGTTGCTGAGAAAACTGTTACGAAAATTTCCTACTATTGACCATTATGTAGAAAATTTAACTAAGTCAGCAAACAGGAAGTAGATAAGCGACAGACCTAAAATCGAATCCCATAGTATGGGACCATGTGTTAATGCTGTACACCAAATATCAAAAGGCTATGATTGGTAGTTGCTGAGAAAACTGTTACGAAAATTTCCTACTATTGACCATTAATGTTGAAAATTTAACTAAGTTGGCAAACAGGAAGTGGATAAGCAACAGACCTGAAATTGAATCTAACGATATGATACCATGTGCTGATGCTGTATACAAAATATCAAAAGGCTGTGATAAGGAGTTGCTGAGAAAACTGTTACGAAAATTTCTTACTATTAACAATTAATGTTGAAAATTTAACTAAATCGGGAAACAGGAAGTAGATAAGCGACAGACCTAAAATCGAATCCAACAGTATGGGACCAGGTGTGGATGCTGTATACCAAATATCAAAAGGCCGTGATAAGTAGTTGCTGAGAAAACTGTTACGAAAATTTCCTACTACTGACCATTAATGTCAGGGGCCGTATTCATAAAGATCGTAGTTTTTCTAAAGGTTATTAAGGTATTTTTTCTACCACCACTGGCACTTCATCTGACGTTTTCAGAAATTTGATATGATTTAGGGAAAATTTGAAAGAAATGGCTCAACAAGGTTATTGGTCTTGAAGTACAATACCTGTAACTCTTCTAACTGTGGTTGATGTAAATTTTCCACTTTCTGTTTTGCTTCTGTCTGCATGTCATTGATCTCTACCAATAAATGTTCTGTTTTTGATTCAGTGGCAGCACGCTCCTCTACTAACACTTCTACCTGCTTGCTCAAACGCTGTATAGGATAAAAAATGATTTTTTACAAGCTAAATATAAAATATTGATTCCACTCAACAGCAATCTTTAAACTAGAAATGTGTCCACCGCGCCACTTTTCTGTCACTCTTTTTACTACAGTAAGTCAAGGGAAATAACTCTACAAATACTTGATAAATCCACAAGCGAAACCCCAGGTGCAAATCTAAATATGCTGAGCAACCTGCCCATAAGGTTTAATGAATATGTCAAATCCTTTTTGAGTAACTTGCAACACACAAGTTGAAAATTGCAAAAATTTTCTAAGTGAAGGGCAATAACTCTAAAAATACTAAATAAATCCAGACGAAAATACCTGGTTCTGTTTGGTTCGTGTTGTGTATGGTGACTGCTGACATAGGGAACTGCTCCTAGGAGAACTTTGTTCAAGTCCGCCTGATATCAGTGACTCGCTCGTTTTACTTAAATTCTGTACCTGACCCACAGTTGCACCGCCATGATCATTTACAGTTGATGTGCTGTCAAAATAAAATATGTTGTGTAAACAGTTAAACTATCTAATTTCACAACCACCAACGTTTCCAGGGGTTAAACCCTCTTTATCAATCAGTTTGCTGTTTTATAAATCTCAAATTTGTCCTCTTATTTTTCTTACTCTATATTTCTTATGATTAACAGAATCTGGTAAAGAATTTAGAGATTGTTCCTACTGGAATAAATTTGTTCGCTTTTGTGATTTTTACAAATTTTTTTTTAAAACAATTTTTTGGTTGTACCCCTACACCAGATTTCGTAAATAACTAACCAGTAATTACAATTTCTCCGCAAGTAACAGACTTGATCACTAAATCAGCACTGAGAGACAAATAACCATGAGCCGCGTCACGACAAAACCAACATAAGATCCATGCTGTTCACATACCATCTCTATTACAAGTAAAGAAACTGATAGCGAACAGCATGCATCCTGATCAGACTGCGTGGATGCGCAGGCTGGTCTGGATCCATGCTGGTCGCAAAACCATTATGTCGTTTTTGTCATGATGCGGCTCATATGACTAGTTAAAGGATCAATTGTTACAGAGAAATTTCGCCACACCCTTTGATCAAACAACGGACACCTAGATTATAAATCTGACACTCTCCCATAGCAGGAGGATCCAAACTTAGTCACATGATACTTTTCATGTCTCATTTTACATGAGGAGCTTGATAAAAGGCTCTCTTTCATGCCTAACCTTGCACACACAAAAAATAATCATTTTTTAAATTACAAAAAACCCATATACAATCTATCTGACACTTTTCAACACCAATAAAATATTTCAGGGTATAATCTACTGTAACCACAGATAACCAAGCTCACCTGTTAGAATCAGCACTAGTGAAAGCACTATTAACAGATTCATTTCCTCTAAATGAGAATGCTGAGCTGTCAGAACCGAACTCGAGGTTACCAAACTGAACGTCCAATGTTGTCATCATATAACCAGGCATCTCAACAGCTGATGCTGGAATCTGAAAATCATAAATGAAATAGAATTGCAATAGTTGGCCAAACTTATCTGTTACCTGTTGCCATGACAACCAAGAATTCTAAAGATGCTCGGCTCAAATCTGTGCCTGCTTAAGCCTACAGCAGGGCTTCCATTAAGTTTTAAACTGACTGCAAAATGTCTGACAATGAATGTAACACTATATAGGTTAAGCAGGAAAAGCATTATATCTTTGTATTTTTTGAAGTCGCAAGCCAAAATCAAGGGGTAAATGACTTCCAAACTTCCACAAATGGAAGCCCTGTAATAAAATGTATAATTTTTTTTCATAGTACATAAAATTACTATAGTGTTTCATAGTACATAAAATTACTATAGTGAAATAAAATATAAATATCGGAGACTTATTTCCACTATAGTAACGCTTAGGGCTGGGGTGAGTATCCGAGTACTCGGATAATCACGAATCAAAGTGAAAAAATCGAGTTTGAATATTCTTAAGCCCAGAGATTGTGGATTGCGATTTAATTTTTTTATATACTTTCACTGTTTCTCACACTCTTAAAATCAAGAAAAATACTATTTGAGTATAAATCATATGAAGTTTAACTAAATACAATTTTTTCCGGTTAAAGACCATGTACCATGATGCTGAGCTAGGAAGTAATTGGTTTCAAAAAACAAAACAAAAATACTCCTCCAAAGAATAAAAACATAAACCTAGTTTATATGTTTAATGTTTAGTATTGTTTTTTTTTTAATTTAACATGTTTTTATAACTAATGTACATGTTTTTATGGGTGTCTTGATAACAAAAGATTTGTGGTTCGATTTGTGAATCGTAAGTGCTGAATCGTGGTTCGGATCGGATCGTCACTTATCCGATGATCCACACCCCTAGAAACGCTTAAAAACTTGTTAAATGTAATCCAAACATTCTTGTAGACATCAGGCAGCAGGTTAGATATTTTTCATAGGAGAGAATTTAATATTCTTCAACAGGATTGTAGTACCAGAGGTGAGGGGCAAATGATTCATAGTTTTCCATTTCTGACATTGAGGCACCTGTTACAATTGTAAATTGTAAATATCCTTGTCTATACAAACCATGTATGTCGATTTCACTCATGTATACACTTGGTGTGCAAAAAAAAGATTTTTTTTTTGGTTCTATTTTAAATGACACATCTAAAAACATTTCTTTAAATCTTATTTTTTCTACATCTGAACAATCTAAAAGACAATATGTAAAGTCAAATAAGTACTTTTTTAGTTCCAGGCAAAATTTAATGATATCTATTACAGAACTTATGTTATCATTTATCACGAACAATAAAATTTATTGTAAAGAATGTCTTTTGTACTGGATAACGACGAATGAAATACTTCATTATTATTGTCTATAAAAGATATGTTACAAAATATAGTTATTTACACCTGTCATAAGCAAATTGATATGGGTTGTTCCTAATTTTGACTCATATTAACACACAAAGACATAAAATATGATATATACAGTGTCTATGTTCATTAGATCATTAGATAGTTAAGAACTGAACGAGTGGGTGATTTATCTCAAGTTTACCTGATTCCTAACATTGTATCATTATCAAATATGTGTATATCAAAAACTAGGATGAAATCAATTATCCAATGTGAATAATATAAAATTTGAAGATTAATGTTTATATGATAATACCTTTGATGGTGGTGGTAACTTTGATCTTTGAGGCTTCTGTCTTTGTTGTAACATTGCATTTTGGGACACCGATGATGCTGGAATGGCATTTGAGGGACCAGCAACAGACTGTGACCCTGCTGATAAACTACTTCCTGTCATAAACGATAAACCACTTCCTGTAACACTGGTTCCCGTTAAACTATTACCATTGGAAGCAGTCTGTGAGGTCATAGAGTTTTGAAGGGATGAACTTTGTCCAGATCCAATCTGAAACACAACAAAAATAAAACATGTATTATATTCAACATATATATGAGCAAAACAATTCTAAATTTATTTCCTCATTCTCTAAGACTGGAGTTAAAAAGTAATTTTGAACTTTAGATTCACACATTGACAAAAGAGTTACACAACTAGCTTCTACATTTTTTCCAGAAAATAATTCTGAATAATAATTTTAACGGTTGCAAAGACTTTTTTTCAATATCTTCTCCTTTTTTGCAGTACCAACAAGATGTTTTATGAGAAATTTCTATGATCTTTTAAGAAATGCTTTTAAGGAGATCGTTATTCTACAGTATAGCTTAATTTAACAAATTTTAACAAAACACTCAATTAAATATGGATAGAAATGTCCCACCAGTTCATCATAATGTCTAGGTATTTTTATGTACACTTCACACAGACAAGATCCTGAAGAAAATAGGACAGGATTTCTAGGGAATATCTTATCCCCCCCACCCCCCAAAAAAATCCACTTAAACAAGTACAAAATAAATGTCAATAATAGTACAATAACAGTAATCATAATGTACTCTCTAAAACTGTTTCAGAACCCTTGAGATTTTTTTTTATTTTAACGAGTTCACCAATCTAACCATAAGGAAAACAATCTCTCAGTTAAACTCTCTTCTTCATAATCACTTCCTTATTGTTTGAAATAACAAATATAATTACAGATAAATACTACATTAAACATTATAGCTCTCCAGTTACATACTGTCTAGTATCTAAATATAACCCTGCACAGATATTACTGTTTTGCACTATCATATTTGAAAGTGTAAAAATTCAATTGTCATTTTTTATCATACTTCCCTAAACAGCACCGATTGCCAATATGTTACATTAACTCTAAGAAATATTCCCTACTAATGATTGAAACGAAACTATTTAATTTGACAAAGCAATTTAGTGGGATAAGGGTTAAGTGTCATTTAAGTTCGATCATTTCATTCTTTTTTCCAAGTAAAAGCTCTCTAAAGAGAGACTGCCATACTGTTTTCTGTTTGTTTTTCTTCCTCAAAAACTGTCCATTGCTATCATCCACTTAGTTTCATTTGACAGACAAAATCAGAAAATGAATGATTAAAAATCACATCAACACCCACTTAATTCTTAATGTGGAAACATTTTAGCTTTAGTGTTGAAGAAATACTTCCGCTGACCAATTACCTAGATAGCCTCTACATATGTAACTGTTTCAAGTTACTGACAGGGTTCAAACCTACAGCAATAAGGGACAACATGATTCAAAGACGGCATACCACTAACTACACATACACAAGTGGAAGTAAAATATCACAGTAAAGCAACATTTTTTTTTACCCCTATACAATTCTTGATTGACTCCGTCGCCTGCTGGTTAAACTGACTGATATATCTTGCCTCAGCACTCATGTCATTTTGTAGATGTTTTGGGTATAATCCTCCGAGATCGAACCTGGCAAAAACAGGATAATAGGGTTTGTTAAATTTTTTTTTTCATTTAGTTGGGTTTAAAGTGACGCAAACACATCAATGCTCACATGGTTTCTTTTCACTTTTACTGTTGGAGGAAGACCTCAGGTGCCCCTCCCTGAATTATTTTTAGGCACAAGAAGACACCCTAGTAAAACCATCAAAGTTCTGCAAGTTAGCTAGGTAGCTTCCTCACAATTAAGAATTAGATGACCACGACAATTTCAAACTGTCAAGCGGTTTAGAATAACTGACTTTTACCACTCTGTCATGGACCCTTATATGTTAAAAATCAGATTTCTTATTTTCTTTTTTAATTAACAAGTCTGCAATTAGCAATTAGAACAGTGATTCAATATACCTGGGTTATTTCAAAGATATGCTAGAAATAGAATTTGTCAACTAAAATATCATAACCTCTGCAATATCAATAGATCATAATGGCTGTAATCTAAGTATTGACTCAGCACTTTGACACCTTCATCTAAGTACTAGAATACAGGTCACGAAATAGAAAAATAGATGCACATAAAACACAAAGTTTTATGACATTATTCAAATAGAGGAAAAACATTATTTCGATTTAAATTTTCAACGATCATCATACAATCACTAAATCCCCGCCTACCCACAATATTAATGAACATACGTGTTAGAGAGTGCGTTTGACTCTATCGGTACTTGATTTGTTGGTTCTGATGCTGATGAGCCACTGGCTGTAATAACTTTTGTTTCTGCCAACTGAAATGATTCAAACATGTAACTTTACAATAACTTTTTTTGTAAGGCCTTTCCACAGCCCTTAAGATTCAAAATAACTAATGCACTTCATCTTTACATTAAGTTTAAATCACTTTCTTTAAATGCTTATTATAAAATAACATTCTTAAGAGATCTACAATGCTGCATCCTAAATTATATCAATCTTATATAACAGGCCCAGCATAAAATTAGGGCAAATTTTAGGGCAATATTTTAGAAATTTTAGGGCTAAAATTAGGAATTTAAGGGTACATAATAGAAATTTTAGGGCTAGAATTTAGAATTTTATAAGTACCATGGCCCAAAAGACCATGATGTTGGCTAACCTTTGAATATTTGATACAAAAGTAACTCACAAATAATGCTATAGTTTAGTTAGAGCAAAGGTGTCTACCAGTGTGGACTCACTGGTCAACTGCCTCACCTGCGGAAATGGTCATAGTCAAACCATGTCCAAACCATATTTGAAATATGCTTTTTCAATGGTTGAACATGTCAAAAAGAATCTGTTCTACCTATGTTTTGGGAATGTTATAACCACGAGTGTCTAAAAGGAATTCTTCTACAGTGAAATTCATGCACAATGCAGCTTTTGAATATGGACAAATGAAATTTTTGTACAAGTAGGAAGTAAAAAGGCATTAGCCTTGTACAGTCATTTGAACAAATGGGAAGCATCTTTAATCAACACACAGAATTGCACATCAAAAAAGTTCATCACATAGATCATTCAATTGCAGTTTATCTAGATCACATAATTGCAAAATGTGTGTACATGGTTAGAATTAATTTTGCAAAGTCTATGTTCACATATTTAGTACTTTACAATGTTGTTTTGAAATTATGCAGATTTGAATAAAAGGGTTGTGAGTAAGCAAATTGTACATTAATTTTTGACAACAGATTTTTATACATGTTATTAATTAAAATTGTGTTACAACAGCTTTATAATGATCATTTTCAAATATGATATGATATAAATGGACCACTTCAGCCATTTGAAAAAAAGAACAAACATAAAATTCAAGATATCTGGAGTTGGCAAAACAGTGTCAAAATATTCCAAAATAAGTCGACCTCTTATGGTTATGATTTAAGTTTCAGGACCATGATATGGTAGTGTTTTTGCTGTTAAGTGTCAACATGATTATAAAGAACTGCTTTGATTATGAAATAGTAATGTTACGGACATAGTCAAAGTAATTTTTAGTTGGAACAAAACCATTTCAATGTCACCAATTTTGAGTTAGCAAATCATGGCAAAATCATTTTTGACCATGTTTAAAACATGGTCCACTTTGTTTATAATGTTCGAGATCATTTTCACAGTTTTACAAGTTATAAGTATGTTTATAACAAAAGATAAAAAAATTAGGAATTTCAGTGAAAAAATAGGGCATTTTTAGGAATTCCCTTTGAATTTTTAACTTTTTTAGGAATTTTAACCAAACTGAAAAAAATTAGGATTTTTTAGGAATTTTAGGGACGCTGGACAGCCTGTATTATAATTATGTTTTCATTAGGAGGCGACTGTAGGCCAAAATGACTAAAAATACTTTTGTTTTTTATGATAAAATAAAAAATGACCACATCAATCTCTACATGGACCATCTTAGAAAACTATCTCAGAAGAGCAATGAGCAGAGTAAATCAAATTATGAGCACTTTTTTCGATTTTAATGCCACACAGTAAAGCCTTACATATAAATTCATGCATAACATGTTCCCAATACGAAATTGTGCATCTGCCTAGACTTCAAATTTATTAGAACTGAAGCTCTAAAGAGACTGAATGTAAATTATGTACGAAATTAATATTAATTATAAATAAGATCACATTATGCAAATATCAAGATCCCGAAAGAAAATATTAACATAGTATAACATACACTTTCAGTCCAGCTATCTATATCCTCATTCCAATCTTCTTTTGAATCACCCCAGTTAGATACTGAAAATATATAATTATATATATATATATATAACAATATCTTTTTCCATTGGAAAGAAAATAATCTTGAATTTGGAATAGTACTTAAAGATTTTACATGAGTTCAATAACAAAATACAAATATTATCCTCCTAATAACAGGATAAAGCCTGGTCAGGTTGTATGGATGTGCACTATTTACTGCTATAAAGATTAGGAGACAAGTATCACAGTGGATAAATGGAATCAATGTACCATGTCTTGCTTGCCTATACAATTCAATGTGTATCAAGTCTTGCTATTACAAGCACCAGCTACCTCTGATCAGTGTACCCTTTTTTTTAGAGAACCTATATATCTTAGCTTGTGCATTACTTTGCAAAAACCAGTGTTTGTTTGATTGTGTTTTACGTCACATTAACACAGTATAGGTCATTTGGCGATGTTCCAGCTTTACTGGTGGAGGAAGACCTCAGAGGTGCCCTTCCGTGCATTATTTCAGGCACTAACGGGCACCTGAGTAGAACCACTGATGTTCCGTAAGCAAGCTGGATAGCTTCCTCACATGAAGGAACCAAAGTCCCTGTAGGGATTCGAACCCACAGCAGTGAGGGGCAAATTGTTTGAAGTCAACGACCTTAACCACTGGGCCATGGAAGCCCCCCCCCCCCCAAAAAAAAAAAACCCAGTGTATATTGGTTTATCCACTCTGGAGTATATTTGTAAACAGGGATTTTTTTAGGGCTTATTTTATAGCAGTAATTGGGTCATATTGAAAATAGTATATTATTTTCTCAATCCACAGGAAAAAAATTCCAAATTGAAAGTTACAAAATGAAAATTTTGAATAAAAATTCTAAAATCTTTGCAAATAAGAGCTTCTACTTAAATGTTTGAAGATGCCATCTTAGACAGTTATTGTTTGCATCCATTTAATCACTGCAAAATATTGTTATGCATTTTCCCCCCAATTTTTAACAAAACACCACTGAAATTCCCAATTCCATGGGTATGGGTAGTGTTCCCAAAATCCTGGAAATATTCCCTGGTAGACCAAAACATAATTTGGTAATAAACTTACTTTTTGGTTCTTTCTCGCCTATCACAGCTGTTTCATTAGTCCATGTGTCTATCTGAGGACCATTGTCAATCTGGGAATTCTTATTTTCAAAACCTCTATTTGGTCGGAAAGTCCTGCAATGTAAATTTCAAATTTCATTTCGATATTGAAATATGATTTACAGAACTGCTGTTTACATACATGTTACTGAATTTCAGTATTGGGTGTTTCAAAAATCAATGCAGCAGTATCACTCATTCACTGTTCAATGTTCTTTGAATAATGACATGCAATATATTGAAAATTGTAAGGAAAACATTGGCACAAGTTCTAAACTGTGTATAGCAATATGTTGAATTTAATAACTAACTTCATTAATCAATTATCTTAAATGAAATATTTATTTCAAATAAGCTATCTACATAATAATTCAATGATGCTGTCAAATACAATGAATCTTATTGCTTTTACAAAGATTATCAAAATTAAGGAAACTAGTTTGCTTTTACTTACCCTCCAACCCCTCGTCCACTGCCACCACCTCTTCCACGCCGTGGACCAAACCCTCGTCCACGACCCCTGCCACAGTCGAATCCCCTGTCACGATAAACATCTTTTTCATTCTCCTCTTCACCACGTTCTGGTCTGTCTCCAGCTCTGTCTGGTCTGCCACGACCCCCTGATAACCTTGGCAGTCTGTTGTCATTACGACGGGCACGCTGCCGATAATTGTCTGACTGTTCACAAAAATTACGCTCGCCATTTTCCTTCTGCTCTTTGTTTCTGTCACGATTATCTCGTTCATTTCTGTCTCTATTATCTCGTCTGTCGGGTTTGGTGTCATTGTGATTTTCTGTGGGTGCTGGGGTGGGCTTTGGCTTTTGTTTCTTTTTCTTCTTGCCAGACTCTCGCCACTCACTCTGATTAATTAAATTAGGTTTACAATTAATTTACCATAGTTTAATGGGTCAAAAATACCCGTAAAACTTTAAGGTTAACTGAGACGGACAGCATGCTTCACTATTCAGAGTACTTCATAGAAAAACAATAGCCATGCTTGAATTTTTCACTAACAAGAATAATTATGTGAAAATCAATACTAGAGCTACAGGTTTTTATATTTGACCTACAATAATGAGTTGTGCGTCATCTGTTACTAAGTGGTTGTGGATTCAGAACTCCGAATTTTCATGCAATTGTTAGATTAATGCCAACAAAAGAATGAAATAGATAGCTAACAAGCAAATTCGTTGAATTTATATCCCCCGCCGGCCGAGTACTGGTTATTATTAACACAACAACTGAAGACATAAGGCTTTATTTATATATTAATCATGGCATAAACTGTAATATTCTTTAAACTTGAAGCCTTGTACCTTCAAACAAGAAGAATTTTTAAGTTTTCACTATATACATATAAGGAAAATCTACGACCCCCTGGAGTGGGGCCAATATTGACCTATGAAGTTTGAACACTGTGGGCCAAATGGAACTTAAGTTATCCTCCGGAAACTGTTTTCAGTTTTAAGGTCATGGTGACCTTGACCTTTTCCCTTGTGACCCAAAAATCAATAGGGGTCTTCTGCCCAATATGAACTATCATCCTATGAAGTTTGAACACACTGGGCCAAATGGAACTTAAGTTATGCTCCAGAAACTGTTTTTAGTTTTAAGGTCATAGTGACCTTGACCTTTAATCTTGTGACCCCAAAATCAATAGGGGTCTTTTACCCAATATGGACAATCATCCTATGAAGTTTGAACACTGTGGGCCAAATGGAACTTAAGTTATGCTCCGGAAACTGTTTTCAGTTTTAAGGTCATAGTGACCTTGACCTTTGACCTTGTGACCCCAAAATCAATAGGGGTCTTCTACCCAATATGGACAATCATCCTATGAAGTTTGAACACTGTGGGCCAAATGGAACTTAAGTTATGCTCCGGAAACTGTTTTTTGTTTTAGGGTCATAGTGACCTTGACCTTTGACCTTGTGACCCCAAAATCAATAGGGGTCTTCTACCCAATATGGACAATCATCCTATGAAGTTTGAACACTGTGGGCCAAATGGAACTTAAGTTATGCTCTGGAAACCAAATTGCTAATGGGCGGACGGTTGGACAGACAGACGGACAGACGCCAGGGGGTATAACATAATATGCCCGAAATTCTTTCGGGCATATAAAAAGAAGTGCATAATCTCCATACTGCCATCTATCCATATATCTAGTTTCATAAAAATATTTTCATTACTTTTTGCGTTAATGACTGACATTAATCCATAAGAAACGCTCCCCTCAAAAAACATTAAATTCTTGCAGTTGTTAAACGTTATGAAAGATACCTGTTAACATATTACAATAGCAACAGTTACTTGCATACATTATTTTAAATCACCAATGACCATTTAAATGTTTCAGATGACACTGCAGAATACAGTTTTAGACACATTAGAAAACACTACTCCAGGAATGTATTTTCTTTGCCATATCAAGCACTAGGAAAACAAAGCCTGTAATAATTTCCCTCTTACCGCAAATGATTTGTCCAACAGTGGGTGTGGCCTGAAAATAATAGCACTAAATATATATCAAGGAATACCAAAGGTTTTCCAAACGCATCATTTACTTTTGAAGAATAAATGAATAAAGGGAAACAACTCAATTAAAAATTAAAGAGATAAATATTTGACTGTAATGCTGCTGATAAATAAATAAATTATAAAACTTTTTTGTGACAGTAAACAATGCATTTATAAATGTGAATTACAATATTCTACTTAATTATCATAATTCTATTTTTAGTACATAAAAAGACATCCATATTTTGTATGCTTTAGCTCGAAAATTTTGTAAAATGTCTATCCTGATGAAGGTTCGTTACAACCGAAAACGATAGATCTTTGAATTACTGAACCTGCACTGGTGTAGACATGTTGTATTTCTTCATTTCTATCTTACTTTCAAGATATACTATGCTCAAATTTGTTATTTGAAAACATTGATAATTACTACACTATCTGTTTGTAAATATAAAATAAACATGTTTTGACTTCACATGCTATGTAGATAAGTTATGCTTTAAGTCCTACATACTGTAAGTGGACAAAGTATGAATATATAGTGTCATTAAAAAAGACCAGCTTTACTTGACCTGTAAAAGGAACACAGATTCCCATATATAGTGCGTGCATTCTTTTATTTAAATAAGTCATATTCAGTTAAAATTCTACAGATTTCAGTAAATTTCTGCAATAAAAATTTTTACACAAAGATGAGCATAGTATATCTTTAATTATTATGAGAATGAAGTCATATTTTAGTTTTTACTTACTTATTCATGAAAGCAGAAATTATATTCTTCGCCTGATGTGGGAAGTAGGTTTGTTTTACAATATGTTCCAGCACTATCAATGGTCCTGTTATATCACTAGGTGGCCGGTATTTCTTGTCCTCACCCTGTAATTACATTTAACCCTACTTATTTTAAAAGTATTTTAACAAGTCAATATGTAAAGAACAGAAAATTTCAAAAGTTGAACATAAGAAAACCAGTTGCGCTTCCTCTTTTTACTTCAAGCATCTGTCTACTCTGGTAAAATATCACTGCCAACTAAAATAAGCTGCGTCACAACAAAACCAACATAATGGGTTTGCGACCAGCAAGGATCTAGACCAGCCTGCGCATCGGCGCAATCTAATCAGGATCCATGCTGTTCGCTATCAGTTTCTCTACTTGTAATAGGGTTGGTAAGTGAACAGCATGGATCCTGATCAGACTGAGCGGACGTGCAAGTTGGTCTGAATCCATGCTGGTCGCAAACCCATTATGTTGGTTTTGTCATGACGCGGCTCAAATGTAAGATAACTCTTTAACACTCCATTTGCCAAAATATGTCAACCTTATCAATGATATTCCATTTCTAATGATAAATAACTTTCAAATATCCTACCTTTAATAAACCAATATAGACAAGGTATGCATTTGCAAACAGAGACCCAACATTGCTATCTGCTTTAAAAGCCTCTTCTAAGATGTTATCTGAAAAATAAGCACATCTATTATAGTTCCCTAATTCAAACACAAAGATGCAAACATATAAAAGACATCAATTAATAAGTACGAGTTTATTGTTAAAATAGCATCAATTTTTGTTGTTGAGAAATTAACATGAATCAGTATTTTCTCTTGTTCAATTTATGTTTGGATTTACTTTGCTCTCAATTCGTAATTATCAACTATTAATTACAGTCAATATTGATTATAATTAAAATGCAAACATTAAACACCAAATACAAGACATGCAGGAGTTTCCTAGATAATGCTTGGAGATCTAGTCCCATACAGGATATCAGGGTAGAGAGATGGACAAAATTAATATACCATCATGAAGTGACATAATTAATAAATAACATTTATTCTTATAAGCTTACTTTCCCTTGCTAAAATAGAAGTTATGTCTGTAATGCAAGAAGTTTCATTATCCAAGCTATGGAATCTATTCCAGTAAATATAATAATTATTACTAGTTAAGTTTTTTAGTAAGTGAATGCCAACATCTCAGACAGACCAAATTTTTATCTTTTTTACTATTACTAACAGCCCCATTGTCACATAAAGGATTAATTTTGCTGTACCAAAGATTTTGAATTACATGTCTAGAGGCAGGTTTTAATTTCTGACTGTCATGCATAAATACACATAAAGATAAAGTAAAACTTACCATATATTTACCACTTACAATTCCAGTACAGTATATTTTAACACATTTATAATATGCTTTTAAAGAAAGGCTTAAAGAGTAAAATTATATCAAACATACCTGCACACTGACAGACTGTTTCACAAGACTTTTTGTCTTCTTTTGTTACAACTGTAGATATCTACAAAATCAACCATATCTATTTGCTATTTTTGTATTATATTGATAAACACCAACTTAGTAGCATTTTATTCATACCATGCAAAGAGATGTAACTAGTTTGTCCAGATTCTGTATTTTTAAACCATTACTATAGTCGCAAGGACAGAATCCTCGACTAATCTCAATACTTGATAGTAAAACAAGAGCCTGAATAATGTTGCATTTTTTAAATGCAAAAGTGTCACAATTCTGTCGAAATCCATGTTGAAAGTTGTGGACCTTGGGCAATTACCGCTTTTATGCTCTCAAATAGGTGTTTTTAGTTTCCTACTGTACTTTTGGAAAGACCGACTTGCATGTAAAAACTAAACCAAAGTGAGACCTGTACGCCAACACCATCGCCAACAGCTGGATGAGTACAAGAGTCTTAGCTTTCCCTACTATTTGAATAAGTAAGCTATTTATCATTCTGTATTACTATTTAGAATCAGTTTTTACAACATACCTATATAAATTACTAAAAAGTTGTAAATGCCAGATAATATTAGGTATATCTTTGACAACAAAACTGATCTAATTGTCAAGTCTAGGACTTAAACTTTTCTTTGGTTTGGGTTTTACAATGCAACAACACAGTAGAGGTCATATGCCAACTTTCCAGCTGGAGTAAGACCTCAGGTAACCCTCCTTGTATTGGGATTTTATGTACAAGCAGGCACCGAGTAGAACCACAGATGTAGGGGTTGAACTGACTGGTACTTAGTATGCATAATGTTCTCCGTATCAAGTTAATTCTACTGGCTCTTAAAGATGTTTATAATCAGCATAAAAAAACTTATATGAAATGCCAAATAACTGCTGCTGCAGCTAATCTAAATAAACTTTAGATGTGACAACAGTTTTGAAAATTATATTTGCATTTGCCTCTTCGCCTCCTTTAAATTCTCGTGGCAAAATGTTTATGGATAAAACCGCAAAATACAAGCCCCCTGTATAAATTTTTGCATGTATATTCATAGAAATATTTTTAATATTTTTCCCTTTTTCAAAAAGACTTGTGTTAAATTCTTCATGTATAAATATTTTTGTTACTATCTACAAGTGTACCATATACTTACTCTTATCAAGGTGGCAACTGTTTTATCTATATCTTTTATGTCATCCTGTAATTGAAAGAAATACAAATATAAATACACTGATGCAAAATAATTGTACTCAAAAGATATCAAGTAGAGCTATGGCTATTTTCAGATGAAAAAGAAAAATATTATGAGCACGTCTATCATGTACCATTGCCTAGATATAGATATGATAGTTTCATATTACTATTTTACATTTCAAAGCAATATCTAAGGTTTCAGTGAAAAAGTGGACAAGTACAAAAAAGAACATAACCAAAGTGTGACACTGAAGCAAATGCCCTTTGGTAGGATAGCTCTAATATATATATGTACAGTGGAGCAAAAATGAAATAATCTAGTCATGATATTAAAATATAACATAGCAGTTATATGTTGGTAGCTTTATAGTACTGTCAATATCATTAAGGTTGTAGAGAAACTTTTAGATCAAATTATGGCAGAAAAAACTCTTAAAGATCCTCTGAACATTATTTCACACACAAAAGCAGTTTATTATATAGACAGAAGATTTTTAAATGACATTTCAAAACAAAATACAAAACTAAACCACCCTAAAGTTTGCCCCATATTATTTCAATTAATATTTACACATATTTGTATTTTATTTTCTGGTCAAGCACAACAAGTCTACATGACATTTCTTTAACTTGTCACAACTTTAAAAGTCAACAACATACTTCTTACTACATTCAGATCAATGAAAGTTTTATTCAACTTTTCTATAAAAACATTTCCTATTCTATATTAAACATGAAGTAGAAACATACCCCTAATTCTTGCCTAACTGATGCAGAAAGATCACCACCTATGCTGTGTAATTTTGTTGGTGATGGAAATGACAGGAATTCTTTCACATTTACACTCTGAAAATGGAAACCATTGAAAATACTAATGTCTATAAATCCAAGAAAATAATCTCATGACATTACATGAGTCAAAATGCAGATACATTAGTACCTTACAATGCTTCACTTAGCCTGCTTTGACTTTGAACAATCTGTGAATTGTTTCAATAGTAAAAACAGTAAAATTTAGCAATCAATTGTAGAGGGCTAGGTGTTGTTCTGGCTTCCAAACTTTATAAACCACTTTTTTTATATTGTTTTTACTTTGTCTGATGTATGTCACTGTCACAGTATAAAAACAGGTATGCTGAAGACCTTACACTAGGAATGGTCTGGTTTTATACTATGCTTGTGTTGATTTTGAAACATGAATAGTTCAATGATTGCAGTGTCATTTTGAAAAATTTAACAGTCAATAGCACAGGGTCATGTTTGGCTATATACAAGTAGCACTAAGACACATGTTACAGTAGTCTTCTGATAAAATTTCCTTCTCATTTATTATGTATCTTCAAATATTAGATGCTTATGATATAAACTTCAAGCCTGTTGAATCAGTACTTGTTTTATAAAAGCAACATTGTTAATGCCACACTGTTGATTTACTTGTGTTACATGACCTTGAGTGTCCCTCTAATGGCCTCTATAAAATATTTCCTGGCACAAACCGTAACTAAGTATAATCACCAATCTTCAAAAAGACTACCCCTTAGGACAACTGCCTCACATGAAATCTCAACAGAGGCCAAACAAACATCCATGGCAATGAAGGGATAAAGAAATAAATGCCCTTTTTCCAATCAATATAACAAGAAGCTATTTTCTATACATTACTACACAATCATAAGGTGTCAACATTTAATTTCAAACAAGAGGGCCATGATGGCACTGAGTTGCTCACCAGAAACAACTGCTTTTCAGTGTTGGAATGTCAATATATTCTAATATTAAATTTGAGCATAAAATATGTTTAAACAATAATTTGAAGAAATGCCATGACCTGGTGTATTTAAGCTTTAGCTTAAACAGGGCTAATCAAAATAATATGAGCAAACTTGATAAAAGACTACCTAAGAATGCTACAAAGTTTGGTGATCATCTTTCTATTATTTCAGTAGGAAATGATGTTTCGAAGGCTTTTTCTATTTTTAGCTTAAGTGGCCCGTAAAAGGGGCTAATCAAATAAATATAAGCAAACTTGATAAAAGAGTACCCAAGAATGCTACAGACAAAGTTTGGTGATCATCCATCTACTGGTTCTGAAGTAGAAGATGCTTAAAGGTTTTTCTATTTTTAGCTCTGCTGACCCCTAAAAGGGGCCAATTGAAATGACATGAGCAAATTCAAGTGTGACTGTTACAAGGATGCTACAGACCAAATTTGAAGTAAATCTGCCCAGTAGTTTCAGAGAAGAAGACGAATGTTGACGCATGACGATGGATGACGGACGCCGGAGCATCCCCCTTTGATACTAATAGCTCACCCTGAGCCTTCGGCTCTAGTGAGCTAAAAAAGCAAATCAGAGTTATGGGACTTGTGCCAATCATCTTAGATAATCACAGAGAACAAGTGTGTGAAGTTTCAATCCATTCCCTTCAGTAGTTATGGAGATACCAGCTTACATGCAAAAACTTAACCAAGATTTTCTAAGTCGAAAAAGGGGCATAATTATGTAAACAAGAGGGCCATGATGGCCCTAGATCGCTCACCTGACCCAACAAACTCATCCAAACAATTACCTAGACAAGCATTATGACCAAGTCTCATGACAGGTGAGTCAAAAATGTGACCACTACAGTGTTAACAAGGATTATCCATATTTGAGCAGTGTGACCTAGTTTTTTACCCAGGTGACCCATATTTAAACTTGACCTAGAAATCATCAAAACAAACTTTCAGACCAATTTCCAGGATACTTGGATCAAAACAGTAGCAACTAGAGTGTTAACAAGATTTTTCTATTTTTAGCTCTGGTGACCTAGTTTCACATGCGATTTCGAACTCATCCGAGCAATTACCTAGACAAGCATCCTGACCAAGTTTGATGATGATTGAGTCGAAAAATGTGACCACTAGAATGTTAACAAGGTTTTTCCATATTTGGGCGGTGTGACCTAGTTTTTCATCCAAGATGACCCATGTTCGTAATTGACTTAGAAATCATAAAAACAAGCTTTCCGACCAATTTACAGGATATTTGGATCAAAACAGTAGCCACTAGAGTGTTAACAAGATTTTTCTATTTTTAGCTCCTGTGACCTAGTTTTTCATCCGAGATGACCAATGTTCGAACTCATCCAAGCTATCAACTAGACAAACATCCTGACCAAGTTTGATGATGATTGAGGCAAAATTTGACCGCTAGAGTGTTAATAAGGTTTTTCTATTTTTAGCTCTTGTGACCTAGTTTTTCATCCGAGATGACCCATGTTCGAACTCATTCGAGCTATCAACTAGATAAGCATCCTGACCAAGTTTGATGATGATTGAGGCAAAAATGTGACCGCTAGAGTGTTAACAAAGTTTTTTCTATTTTTAGCTCCGGTCGTCTAGTTTTTCATCTGAGATGACCATGTTCGAACTCATCCGAGCTATCACCTAGACAAGCATCCTGACCAAGTTTGATGATGATTGAGGCAAAAATGTGACCTCTAGAGTGTTAACAAGGTTTTTCTATTTTTAGCTCCAGTGACCTACTTTTTCATCCGAGATGACCCATGTTCGAACTCATCCGAGCTATCACCTAGACAAACATCCTGACCAAGTTTGATGATGATTGAGGCAAAAATGTGACCTCTAGAGTGTTAACAAGGTTTTTCTATTTTTAGCTCCAGTGACCTACTTTTTCATCTGAGATGACCCATGTTCGCACTCATCCAAGCTATCACCTAGACAAGCTTCCTGACAAAGTTTGATGATGATTGATGCCAAAATGTGACCGCTAGAGTGTTAACAAGGTTTTTCTATTTTTAGCTCCGGTGACCTACTTTTTTATCTGAGATGACCCATGTTCGCACTCATCCAAGCTATCACCTAGATAAGCATCCTGACCAAGTTTGATAATGATTGAGGCAAAAATGCGACCGCTAGACGTTTCCATCCATTCCCTTCAGTAGTTATGGAGATACCAGCTTACACCCAAAAACTTAACCACAGGGACCCCGATGCCGACGCCGACAAATGGGTGAGTGCATTAGCTCGATTATTCTGTAAATAGTCGAGCTAATAAAACACTTTTTGGAATAACATATAATAACTTAACATACAATTTCATGCCTAAAGCAATTTGGCAATATGCCAACAATATAGTGATTTATTTTATAGATTATTCATGAAACTTTGATGCTGAAATAAAACAGATTCATTTTTTGCAGATAAAAAAATTCAATCTTCATTCAGACTAATATTTTGTTGATTGAACTTGCATAAAAGAAAAACAAATGTTACTAAATGATAAATATAAAACAGCTTACACCAAGGAAGTATACAGTATATATACCCTTAGTGATTACATCATGATATCATTTTAAACTACAGTTTTCAGATAAGTTCTTAGATTGCACAAATTCAAACTCAAACTCATGAAAAGAACATTTGTCAACTTTTAATAAGAAATGTCAATATTTGCTTAACAAACAACAATAGAAAAAAAAACTTACATAAATGATTTGTTTTTGTTGCTGCACCTCTTCCTGGTATACATGTACCTGGTTTGCTATGGACTCTTTCATCTCAGCTGTTAATTTGGCTTTCTCTGTCTTCGTCATTAACTCATTCTTTAATTTCTGCAAATATAACCAACATTTGATCTTTTCTCTTCTGGTTGGGGTTTCAATTATACCAAAACAGTAAAGATATAGCCTAACTTGTGAAGACAGTACCCTAGACATTACTAAACTATACCATGTAAAATATCTAAAATTAAAATGTCCATCTTTCAATTTGGACAAAACCATCCCTTTAACGGTAAGTCTCAAAGCATGGAATGACTGAATAAGGAACGATGCAGATTATGATCAGATGGCACAAATATGCTAGCTCATATATGTATGCAATGGTCACAACTGTAGAATCAAGCATGCTAATTGTTAAGCAAGGCTCACATGAAAAACTCCCTTTCTCATGACATAATACATGTACTCAATAAATAATGTCAGTGTTTTATTTCATGTTTAATGCTCAAAATACAAAACAATTCAAACAATAGTGATTTTTCAACATAACTTGAATGCCATTTTAATTTACTACCTCTATAATTTCCTTCAAGTCCTCCTCCTTTCTCTCAAAGTTTGCTTTCTCTCTTTCTTGTTGTTCAATCTTGTCACCCAATTCCTAGCGTAAACATAACAAATACAACTTTACATATACTTTAAGAACATCACATATTCAGAGTTTGCTTGGTTTTCTATGGTGTGTGGAACACAGGTGTTTTGCATATTATACAATCCAGTTTTGATTCTAGTTCATATAAGCCTAGATGACGTTTCGTTAAATAATGTCAGTGTTTTATTTCATGTTTAATGCTCAAAATACAAAACAATTCAAACAATAGTGATTTTTCAACATAACTTGAATGCCATTTTAATTTACTACCTCTATAATTTCCTTCAAGTCCTCCTCCTTTCTCTCAAAGTTTGCTTTCTCTCTTTCTTGTTGTTCAATCTTGTCCTCCAATTCCTAGCGTAAACATAACAAATACAACTTTACATATACTTTAAGAACATCACATATTCAGAGTTTGCTTGGTTTTCTATGGTGTGTGGAACACAGGTGTTTTGCATATTATACAATCCAGTTTTGATTCTAGTTCATATAAGCCTAGATGACGTTTCGTTAAATAATGTCAGTGTTTTATTTCATGTTTAATGCTCAAAATACAAAACAATTCAAACAATAGTGATTTTTCAACATAACTTGAATGCCATTTTAATTTACTACCTCTATAATTTCCTTCAAGTCCTCCTCCTTTCTCTCAAAGTTTGCTTTCTCTCTTTCTTGTTGTTCAATCTTGTCACCCAATTCCTAGCGTAAACATAACAAATACAACTTTACATATACTTTAAGAACATCACATATTCAGAGTTTGCTTGGTTTTCTATGGTGTGTGGAACACAGGTGTTTTGCATATTATACAATCCAGTTTTGATTCTAGTTCATATAAGCCTAGATGACGTTTCGTTAAATAATGTCAGTGTTTTATTTCATGTTTAATGCTCAAAATACAAAACAATTCAAACAATAGTGATTTTTCAACATAACTTGAATGCCATTTTAATTTACTACCTCTATAATTTCCTTCAAGTCCTCCTCCTTTCTCTCAAAGTTTGCTTTCTCTCTTTCTTGTTGTTCAATCTTGTCACCCAATTCCTAGCGTAAACATAACAAATACAACTTTACATATACTTTAAGAACATCACATATTCAGAGTTTGCTTGGTTTTCTATGGTGTGTGGAACACAGGTGTTTTGCATATTATACAATCCAGTTTTGATTCTAGTTCATATAAGCCTAGATGACGTTTCGTTAAATAATGTCAGTGTTTTATTTCATGTTTAATGCTCAAAATACAAAACAATTCAAACAATAGTGATTTTTCAACATAACTTGAATGCCATTTTAATTTACTACCTCTATAATTTCCTTCAAGTCCTCCTCCTTTCTCTCAAAGTTTGCTTTCTCTCTTTCTTGTTGTTCAATCTTGTCACCCAATTCCTAGCGTAAACATAACAAATACAACTTTACATATACTTTAAGAACATCACATATTCAGAGTTTGCTTGGTTTTCTATGGTGTGTGGAACACAGGTGTTTTGCATATTATACAATCCAGTTTTGATTCTAGTTCATATAAGCCTAGATGACGTTTCGTTAAATAATGTCAGTGTTTTATTTCATGTTTAATGCTCAAAATACAAAACAATTCAAACAATAGTGATTTTTCAACATAACTTGAATGCCATTTTAATTTACTACCTCTATAATTTCCTTCAAGTCCTCCTCCTTTCTCTCAAAGTTTGCTTTCTCTCTTTCTTGTTGTTCAATCTTGTCACCCAATTCCTAGCGTAAACATAACAAATACAACTTTACATATACTTTAAGAACATCACATATTCAGAGTTTGCTTGGTTTTCTATGGTGTGTGGAACACAGGTGTTTTGCATATTATACAATCCAGTTTTGATTCTAGTTCATATAAGCCTAGATGACGTTTCGTTAAATAATGTCAGTGTTTTATTTCATGTTTAATGCTCAAAATACAAAACAATTCAAACAATAGTGATTTTTCAACATAACTTGAATGCCATTTTAATTTACTACCTCTATAATTTCCTTCAAGTCCTCCTCCTTTCTCTCAAAGTTTGCTGTCTCTCTTTCTTGTTGTTCAATCTTGTCACCCAATTCCTAGCGTAAACATAACAAATACAACTTTACATATACTTTAAGAACATCACATATTCAGAGTTTGCTTGGTTTTCTATGGTGTGTGGAACACAGGTGTTTTGCATATTATACAATCCAGTTTTGATTCTAGTTCATATAAGCCTAGATGACGTTTCGTTAAATAATGTCAGTGTTTTATTTCATGTTTAATGCTCAAAATACAAAACAATTCAAACAATAGTGATTTTTCAACATAACTTGAATGCCATTTTAATTTACTACCTCTATAATTTCCTTCAAGTCCTCCTCCTTTCTCTCAAAGTTTGCTTTCTCTCTTTCTTGTTGTTCAATCTTGTCACCCAATTCCTAGCGTAAACATAACAAATACAACTTTACATATACTTTAAGAACATCACATATTCAGAGTTTGCTTGGTTTTCTATGGTGTGTGGAACACAGGTGTTTTGCATATTATACAATCCAGTTTTGATTCTAGTTCATATAAGCCTAGATGACGTTTCGTTAAATAATGTCAGTGTTTTATTTCATGTTTAATGCTCAAAATACAAAACAATTCAAACAATAGTGATTTTTCAACATAACTTGAATGCCATTTTAATTTACTACCTCTATAAATTCCTTCAAGTCCTCCTCCTTTCTCTCAAAGTTTGCTTTCTCTCTTTCTTGTTGTTCAATCTTGTCACCCAATTCCTAGCGTAAACATAACAAATACAACTTTACATATACTTTAAGAACATCACATATTCAGAGTTTGCTTTGGTTTTCTATGGTGTGTGGAACACAGGTGTTTTGCATATTATACAATCCAGTTTTGATTCTAGTTCATATAAGCCTAGATGACGTTTCGTTAAATAATGTCAGTGTTTTATTTCATGTTTAATGCTCAAAATACAAAACAATTCAAACAATAGTGATTTTTCAACATAACTTGAATGCCATTTTAATTTACTACCTCTATAATTTCCTTCAAGTCCTCCTCCTTTCTCTCAAAGTTTGCTTTCTCTCTTTCTTGTTGTTCAATCTTGTCACCCAATTCCTAGCGTAAACATAACAAATACAACTTTACATATACTTTAAGAACATCACATATTCAGAGTTTGCTTGGTTTTCTATGGTGTGTGGAACACAGGTGTTTTGCATATTATACAATCCAGTTTTGATTCTAGTTCATATAAGCCTAGATGACGTTTCGTTAAATAATGTCAGTGTTTTATTTCATGTTTAATGCTCAAAATACAAAACAATTCAAACAATAGTGATTTTTCAACATAACTTGAATGCCATTTTAATTTACTACCTCTATAATTTCCTTCAAGTCCTCCTCCTTTCTCTCAAAGTTTGCTTTCTCTCTTTCTTGTTGTTCAATCTTGTCACCCAATTCCTAGCGTAAACATAACAAATACAACTTTACATATACTTTAAGAACATCACATATTCAGAGTTTGCTTGGTTTTCTATGGTGTGTGGAACACAGGTGTTTTGCATATTATACAATCCAGTTTTGATTCTAGTTCATATAAGCCTAGATGACGTTTCGTTAAATAATGTCAGTGTTTTATTTCATGTTTAATGCTCAAAATACAAAACAATTCAAACAATAGTGATTTTTCAACATAACTTGAATGCCATTTTAATTTACTACCTCTATAAATTCCTTCAAGTCCTCCTCCTTTCTCTCAAAGTTTGCTTTCTCTCTTTCTTGTTGTTCAATCTTGTCACCCAATTCCTAGCGTAAACATAACAAATACAACTTTACATATACTTTAAGAACATCACATATTCAGAGTTTGCTTGGTTTTCTATGGTGTGTGGAACACAGGTGTTTTGCATATTATACAATCCAGTTTTGATTCTAGTTCATATAAGCCTAGATGACGTTTCGTTAAATAATGTCAGTGTTTTATTTCATGTTTAATGCTCAAAATACAAAACAATTCAAACAATAGTGATTTTTCAACATAACTTGAATGCCATTTTAATTTACTACCTCTATAATTTCCTTCAAGTCCTCCTCCTTTCTCTCAAAGTTTGCTTTCTCTCTTTCTTGTTGTTCAATCTTGTCCTCCAATTCCTAGCGTAAACATAACAAATACAACTTTACATATACTTTAAGAACATCACATATTCAGAGTTTGCTTGGTTTTCTATGGTGTGTGGAACACAGGTGTTTTGCATATTATACAATCCAGTTTTGATTCTAGTTCATATAAGCCTAGATGACGTTTCGTTAAATAATGTCAGTGTTTTATTTCATGTTTAATGCTCAAAATACAAAACAATTCAAACAATAGTGATTTTTCAACATAACTTGAATGCCATTTTAATTTACTACCTCTATAATTTCCTTCAAGTCCTCCTCCTTTCTCTCAAAGTTTGCTTTCTCTCTTTCTTGTTGTTCAATCTTGTCACCCAATTCCTAGCGTAAACATAACAAATACAACTTTACATATACTTTAAGAACATCACATATTCAGAGTTTGCTTGGTTTTCTATGGTGTGTGGAACACAGGTGTTTTGCATATTATACAATCCAGTTTTGATTCTAGTTCATATAAGCCTAGATGACGTTTCGTTTCATCCTTAGTTTTGATAGAAATGTACCATTTAACCGTAATAACTCTGATGACACATCTACCTGCTTTTCTGTTTCCTTTATTTGCAATATGATTTTAGGTAAAGGATTGAAATTTTGCCCAAAACCCAAATCACATGATAAAATTAAACTTGCTGAAGAAACTTATAATTTTGCAAGACGGCGTAGACTAAAAGAATACTTTTATGAAAATAATGATAAAAGTGAACATAAGGAATTCAAACAAATGCCATTCTTTAATAAACGTAAGTCTACATTTATCCCCCCTAACGGCCGTGATACTTATTTAGACTTTTATATAGAAGCTATTACACAAGAAATTCTTAAAAGTAATGACAAGAAACTATACCGCACAAATATTTCTAAAGAAAAATTGAACTCACTACGTTCACTTTGCAAAGATGAATCTATCATTATTAAAAAAGCAGATAAATCAAATATGATAGTTATAATGAACAAAATTGACTATATTCATGAAGTGGAACGCCAATTGAATAATAACAAGATATGTTTGTAAAACATGTATGCCCCCTATCTGCAGCCAATTAGTCATGTGATAAGGTTATTATGCATGACTTCTGACCCAGTGATCAAACAATTAATAAGGGTTATCAAGTATCTACTGGTCATGACCTTAACCTTTGACCCCTTGACCCAAAACTCAATAGGGGTCATCTGCTGGTCACGACCAATCATCATACAAAGTTTGAAGTTCCTAGGCCTAAGCGTTTTTAGTTAATTAATCGGAAACCGTTTTTACCTACAAGGTCAATGTGACCTTGACCTTTGACCCCTTGACCCAAAATCAATAGGTCATCTGCTGGTCATGACCAATCACAATACCAAGTTTGAAGTTCCTAGGCCTAAGGGTTCTTTAGTTATTGATTGGAAACCGTTTTAACATACAAGGTCAATGTGACCTTGACCTTTGACCCCAAAATCAATAGGGGTCATCTGCTGGTCATGACCAATCACCATGCCAAGTTTGAAGTTCATAGGCCGAAGCGTTCTTTAGTTATTGATCAGAAACCGTTTTTACTTACAATGTCAATGTGACCTTGACTTTTGACCCCTTGATCCCAAAATCAATAGGGGTAATCTGCTGGTCATGACAAATCACCATACCAAGTTTGAAGTTCCTAGGCCTAAGCGTTCTTAAGTTTTTGATCTGAAACCGTTTTTACTTACAAGGTCAATGTGACCTTGACCTTTGACCCCTTGACCCAAAACTCAATAGGGGTCATCTGCTGGTCATGACCAATCATCATACAAAGTTTGAAGTTCCTAGGCCTAAGCGTTTTTAGTAAATTGATGGGAAACCATTTTTACCTACAAGGTCAATGTGACCTTGACCTTTGACCCCTTGACCCCAAAATCAATAGGTCATCTGCTGGTCATGACCAATCACCATACCAAGTTTGAAGTTCCTAAGCCTAAGGGTTCTTAAGTTATTGATTGTAAAGCATTTTTACCTACAAGGTCAATGTGACCTTGCCCATTGACCCCTTAACCCCAATATCAATAGGGGTCATCTGCTGGTCATGACCAATCACCATACCAAGTTTGAAGTCCCTTGGCCCAAGGGTTCTTTAGTTATTGATCGGAAACCGTTTTAACCTAAGAGGTCAATGTGACCTTGACCTTTGACCCCTTGACCCCAAAATCAATAGGGGTCATCTACTGATCATGACCAATCACCATATCAAGTTTGAAGTTCCTAGGCCTAAGGGTTCTTTCGTTATTGATCGGAAACCGTTTTTACCTACAAGGTCAATGTGACCTTGACCTTTGACCCCTTAACCCCAAAATCAATAGGGGTCATCTGCTGGTCATAACCAATCACCATACCAAGTTTGAAGTTCCTAGGCCTAAGGGTTCTTTTGTTATTGGTCAGAAACCGTTTTTACCCAAGAGGTCAATGTGACCTTGACCTTTGACCCCTTGACCCTAAAATCAATAGGGGTCATCTACTGATCATGACCAATCACCATACCAAGTTTGAAGTTCCTAGGCCTTAAAGTTCTTTAGTTATTGATCAGAAACCGTTTTTGCTTACAAGGTCAATGTGACCTTGACCTTTGACCCCTTGACCCCAAAATCAATAGGGGTCATCTACTGATCATGACCAATCACCATACCAAGTTTGAAGTTCCTAGGCCTTAAGGTTCTTTAGTTATTGATCGGAAACCGTTTTTGCTTACAAGGTCAATGTGACCTTGACCTTTGACCCCTTGACCCCAAAATCAATAGGGGTCATCTACTGATCATGACCAATCACCATACCAAGTTTGAAGTTCCTAGGCCTTAAGGTTCTTTAGTTATTGATCGGAAACCGTTTTTGCTTACAAGGTCAATGTGACCTTGACCTTTGACCCCTTGACCCCAAAATCAATAGGGGTCATCTACTGGTCATGACCAATCACCATACCAAGTTTGAAGTTCCTAGGCCTAAGGGTTCTTTAGTTATCACTCGGAAACCATTTGGTCTACGGACCGACGGACCGACAAGTGCAAAGCAATATACCCCCTTTTCTTCGAAATGGGGGCATAATAAATATTACTCAAAATTAGACAATAACCTGTCTCAGGAAATAAAACTTAATATTCAAAACTGTATAAACGAGATATCGGAAATAAACAGTAACATAACTAGCGAATTTGACATTTTTCCAGACATCATAAGAACGCCCCAATTTTATATCTTGCCCAAAATTCATAAAGATTATAATGAAAGTCTACCCATAGGATATCCAGGCAGACCAATTGTTTCTGCATGCAATAGTTTTACAGAAAATATTTCAAAATACCTTGACTTTATATTACAACCATATATGAAATCATTACCGTCGTATGTGAAAGATACCTCTGATTTTTTGCGTAAATTAAAATCTTTACCTAAACTTTCAAAAGATTCAGTACTTGTTACTTTGGATGTAACTTCACTGTATACAAATATCCCACATTAAGATGGGATAGCTGCTTGTAAATACTTTCTTGATAATGAAAAATGTGGTAGTAAATTATCAACGGAGGAAATATGCACTCTTCTTAAATTGACACTTAAAAGTAATCATTTTCAATTTATTAATGAAAATTATTTACAAATTTTAGGTACCGCTATGGGTAGTTCTATGGCCCCTACATACGCATCGCTATTCATGGGTAAATTAGAATCTGATTTTTTAAACAGTTATGACCTTAAACCTACGACTTGGCTCCGCTTTCTAGATGATATATTTATGATATGGGATCATTCTATAAGTGCCTTACATGATTTCATAAACAAATTAAATACATGTCACCCGACAATTAAATTTACATATAATATATCGAAAGAAAATGTGTCATTTCTTGATGTTAAGATTCTTAAAAATGAAAATTGTACTTTATCAACGGAAATTCATATAAAACCTACAGATGTCCATCAATATCTGGAGTATAACTCATGCCACCCTAATAAATGTAAAGAGGGTATACCATATAGCCAAGCTAAACGTTACAGACGTATCATTTCAGACAATGATAAATTTCATGAATGTCTAATAAATTTAGAATCTTTTTTCAAGATCAGAAATTATCCTGATAGCAAGCTGAAATCTGCTTTTGCAAAAGTAAAATATTCAACCCAAGAAGAAGCTCTGGAAAATAACCAAAATATAACAGAGCAGCAAAAATCATACCATTTGTTATCCCATATAATCTGTCTCTTCCCCATCTTGGTCTTATAATAAATAAATACTGGGATCTTTTAATGTTGTCAGAAAATGACAATGTTAAAAATTTACATAATCATAAACCAATCTTAGCATACAGCCGTCCCAAAAATCTTCAAGATTCACTCACCCATTCAACTCTAAATAAACGGATTATGAACGGTAAAACTAATAAGTGTAATAGAAAAAGATGTACTCACTGTAAAAATAATGAAGAAAATAGTAAATTCACAAGTACAAATACTGGAGAAACATTCGAAATGCATTTTGATGGAAATTGTACTTCTAGTGACGTGATTTATTTAATTACTTGTAAAAAATGTAAAATACAGTATGTCGGCCAAACCCATCAACAGGTATCAAAAAGAATGAACAGCCATAAATTTGATATAAGAAGTAATAATCATCCCAATTTTTCTTCTAATGTTGCAATTCATTTCAATTCCGAAGATCACTCACTTGATGACTTTTCCTTTATGCCGATTGATAAACTTCATGATAATATGTTGAGACTTTTGAAAGAGACATACTGGATACATAAGTTAGGAACAATCCATCATAAGCAATAATGCATTTTATATTGACATAACTAGACATTATACATGTACTTTCACAGGAAATAATAATTTATTGTTTTTGTAAAAAATAACTTTAGCAATACTATACCAGAATTCTTTTTTTAAGATCAGATATTTCAGCATTTTTGTCTTCAACCTGGACCTCCCTTGTTTCTAGCAATACTAAATTTCGTTTCTGATCATCCCTGGACTTTATTCTCTCCTATAGAAATGTGAAAATAAACAAAGTCTGAAAATATTTCAAGTACATGTATACAAAATCTTTGAATAAACATTAGTGGTTTGACTAATTTCAATCATTTTCAGTAAGATTTTATAAAGATAGATCATTTTTAGTAAGTATTTATATAACATAAAACATTAGAAATATAAAGGAATTCTTTATTTCACATATGGCGAAAAAATTCAGTAATAATCCAAGCTACTATCAGAAAAAATATTAACCCTTATCATGCTAAAAATATCTAATATGGATTTCTTTTTTTCATGGATCATCATTTTAGGGGAATCAGTTGCAGCCAACAAGCTAAAGGGTTTACCAAGTGTTGTATTCTAATACTGATAATATTTGCATTATTCATTTGTCAAGCTTATGAAAATGAATGTTCATACACAGAGCTCTCTGTTTTGGGGGAACAGTACCTGAAGGACCAGGGGAGAATTAAATATTTTTTTATGGGCGAATGGGGCTTAATTTCATCTCCAAAATTTTGTGAAAAGTGGGCCTGCTTAATATATTTTGTTGATGACAAATCAGAAGATGTCTCAGTGGAAAATGTTATTTCAGCTGTATATGACAAGGTATAGTAACATGGGTATAAACCTCATCTAAAATAAGCTGTAGATTAGCAGCTTGTTTCTGACTGGTCTCTAATTGTTCCCTGTATGATGTAATCTGTTTATCTCGTCCTGCTAACTTCCTTATAGATACCATCTTCTCTTCTTCCAACTGTACTATCACACCCTATACCCAAAATAGTCTACAGTTATATACCATATGACAAACATGTTGATCAATTATATTTGAAATCTATTTGGTGGTCATTTGCATTTTCAAATGACCCTATTAGATATAAAGTTTATAATATTTTCTCAACTTAATTGAATAGATATTAAATACTTTGAGAGAATGTGTTGGTGAACACACATAACCATACAGCAAGAGATGAGAAAAAGGGTACTTTCAAGTGCATGAAAGGATGACAACTTGTGAAAATGGTTATCACAAGACATTAGATTAATTTACTATGTTTCTCTTTTCAAAGGAATAAACAAAAATACCATCAACACTCGTATAATAACAATCTGGTTTTGATGACTGCAGTAATTGCACTATGTCACAAAGTAAATAAATACTTGTACATGTAAATATATCTTTATGCCAATACCAATCCTCTCTAGGCAGAAAAGTCTAACCTAATTTTTAATGTCAGGGGCCGTATTCATAAAGATCGTAGTTTTTCTAAAGGTTATTAAGGTATTTTTTCTACCACCACTGGCACTTCATCTGACGTTTTCAGAAATTTGATATGATTTAGGAAAATTTGAAAGAAATGGCTCAACAAGGTTATTGGTCTTGAAGTACAATACCTGTAACTCTTCTAACTGTTGCTGATGTAAATTTTCCACTATCAGTTCTGCTTCTGTCTGCTTGTCATTGATCTCTCCCGATAAATGTTCTGTTTTTGATTCAGTGGCAGCACGCTCCTCAACTAGCACTTCTACCTGCTTGCTCAAACGCTGTATAGGATAAAAAATGATTTTTTACAAGCTAAATATAAAATATTGATTCCACTCAACAGCAATCTTTAAACTAGAAATGTGTCCATAGGACACAGGTGCCTCCACCGCGCCACTTTCCTGTCACTCTTTTTACTACAGTAAGTCAAGGGAAATAACTCTACAAATACTTGATAAATCCACAAGCGAAACCCCAGGTGCAAATCTAAATATGCTGAGCAACCTGCCCATAAGGTTTAATGAATATGTCAAATCCTTTTTGAGTAACTTGCGACACACAAGTTGAAAATTGCAAAAAATTTCTAAGTGAAGGGCAATAAACTCTAAAAATACTAAATAAATCCAGACGAAAATACCTGGTGCACAACTGCACATGCTGATCAATATTCCTGTAAAGTTACATGACTCTAGGTCAATTACTTTTTGAGTTACATGCGATACATGTTGAAAATTGCAAAATTTTACTAAGTGAAGGGCTATAACTCTGAAAATACTAAAAATATCCAGACAAAAATACCCAGGTGCATAACTACACATGCTGATCAACATTCCTGAAAAGTTTCATGACTCTAGGTCAAATACTTTTTGAGTTACATGTGACACCAGTTGAAAATTACAAAATTTTACTAAGTCAAGGGCAATAACTCTGAAAATACTAATAATATCCAGACGAAAATATCCAGGTGCACAACTACACATGCTGATTAGCTAAATGGTGATTTTAAATTTAAAAGCCTGAGCCATTGATAATGAACATTTATTTGTTGTGTATTGGTACTACAATACATTTTATGCCATTTGACACCAATTCCAATAATGTTTTCCCAACCAAATAATGAGAATCTACCATTTAATTTTTTTTTCTTTAAGATTTTCATCATAGAGAAATTTGACTATTTTGAACATATTTTCTGTGGAGGACATAAAAAGAACTCAAGGCCTATGAAATACAATTCTCTCGAAAGTGGAGATCCCTTGTCAGCCATGAAAACAAAAGTTTTTGTTTTGTTATTTATCTTGATACCACTCGCATCACTTTTTCAAATTGCATATTACTTGGGTTATATAAATTGTAGTTTTCTACATATTGCTAACATTAATTTTGACATACAATTTTCTAGATCTCACTTAAATTAGTTTGCTGATACTACTGATAAAGTAATTTCATATTTTACTCACTTTTAACTCTCGCTGGTATGTCTGACTCTCAAGCTCAAGTTTTTCTATCATTTCTTTTTTATGTTCTAGTGACAGATTCTGCTGATCTACGATAAACCTCAGACTACTATCAGAAGCTTCTAGCCTATTACATTTCTCTTCTAGCCTATCTGAAATTTGTTATATTAAGTCAAATAAAACTTCTGCAAATCTAAACCTTGTTAAATCTAAAATTTCAATATGTATCAATTTTTCTTTTAATATTTTAGAATTCATATGAATAAGTACCTGTTAAATGTATCAAAATATTGGTTCTATATGCTTACTAGAAAACTGTTCAATATTAAAATTTAATTACACAAGTTTATATTCTTCTTCTCACTAAATCAAATCTTAAGAAGTTTTCAATTTAATACCATTTCTAATATTATCCAAGTCTATTTTATCATGGAGAGCTTGTATCCATATTTGTTGGTAATCCAGTCTATGATCTGTGTCAATAAAAAGCTTGTTCATCAAACTTTTAGCTGCTGATGATATATCTAGTGATTGAGGATATGCCTAAAAAATAATAAAAGAATATAACAGTATCACTTTAAGTTGTTTTATCAAGTGCATGTTTAAACAAACTGACTTATACATTTTCCAACAGGATAGTTACTCTAAAACTGCAACTTATAACAAAATTTTTTCTTATTAAATTTTCTTTTGCAGGATATATAGTGTCAGGCATATATATATATATACTAGAAAAAAAATCATCATATGAGTGCAAAACATTGAAAAAATTTCTAATAATGCCCAGTTTCAATCATACTGATAAATAAACAAGAGGGCCATGATGGCCCTAGATCGCTCACTTGACTTATCAAACTCATCCAAACAATTACCTAGACAAGCATTCTGACCAAGTCTCATGACAGGGGAGTCAAAAATGTGACCACTACAGTGTTAACAAGGATTATCAATATTTGAGCAGTGCGACATTGTTTTTTACCCAGGTGACACATATTCAAACTTGACCTAGAAATCATCAAAACTAACTTTCAGACCAATTTCCAGGATACTTGGATCAAAACAGTAGCAACTAGAGTGTTAAGATTTTTCTAATATTAGCTCTGGTGACCTAGTTTTTACATGCGAATTTGAACTCATCCAAGCAATTACCTAGACAAGCATCCTGACCAAGTTTGATGATAATTGAGTTGAAAATGTGACCACTAAAATGTTAACAAGGTTTTTCTATTTTTAGCTCCAGTGACCTAGTTTTTCATAAGAAATGACCCATGTTCGAACTCGTCCGAGCTATCACCTAGACAAGCATCTTGACCAAGTTTGACGATGATTGATGCAAAAATGTGACCGCTAGAGTGTTAACAAGGTTTTTCTATTTTTAGCTCCGGTGACCTACTTTTCATCTGAGATGACCCATGTTCAAACTCATCTGAGCTTTCAACTAGATAAGCATCCTGACCAAGTTTGATGATGATTGATGCAAAAATGTGACCGCTAGAGTGTTAACAAGGTTTTTCTATTTAGAGTCTGGTGACCTATTTTTTCATCCGAGATGACCCATATTCCAACTCATCTGAGTTATTATCTAAACAAGCATCCTGACCAAGTTTGATGATGATTGGGTCAAAAATGTGACCACTAGAGTGTTCACAAGGTTTTCTATTTTTAGCTCCTGTGACCTAGTTTTTCATAAGAAATGACCCATGTTCGAACTCATTTAAGCAATTGACTAGACAAGCATTCTGACCAAGTTTGATGATGATTGGTTCAAAAATGTGACCACTAGAGTGTTCACAAGGTTTTTCTATTTATAGCTCCTGTGACCTACTTTTTCATCTGAGATGACCCATGTTTGAACTCATCTGAGCTATTACCTAGACAAGCATTCTGACCAAGTTTGATGATGATTGGGTCAAAAATGTGACCACTAGAGTGTTCACAAGGTTTTTCTATTTTTAGCTCTTGTGACCTAGTTTTCCATCCGAAATGACCCCGTTTCGAACACATCCGAGCAATTGACTAAACAAGCATCCTGACAAAGTTTGATGATGATTGAGTCATAAGTGTGACCACTAGTGTGTTCACAAGCAATTGTGGACGTACGACGGACGACAGACGACGGACATTCACCGATCCTTAAAACTCAACCTGAGCAAGCTCAGGTGAGCTAAAGATCATCAAACCATGACCAAATTCCAACTTGACCTGCCCATTCCTTTGACATATCCATATGTCAAATTTGAGTTGAATATGTAACACTGTTGGGTACATAATAAATATGGTAGAATATATAAGAGAAAATATATATGGCATGTGTTTGCTGTTCAGATCAGAATATCTGTCCCTCTGTTACTTGCCCATTGATGATAACTCAGCAAGCGTCAATACCGCCCAGTAGGCAGGTACCCTCAGGTTGGCTATTTCTATCTGAACCACAATATATGACAAATTTTATAAATATGCCCCAGTAACAGATTTTCTTTGCAGTTTTTATGTATATTTAGGCAACATTTAACAATAGACCACTAAAATTTCCTTTCCATTGTTTAAATCTTCGTACTTACATTTGGCTGTTCTCCAGGACGACCACATTTTGGTACATACCCTAAAACAATAAAATCAAAGGCATAAACATATGCTTCATAAAGTGAATCATTCATAAACATTTTAATAAAATAATAGTACAAATAATTATCTTCTATAAGAAAATATAGTCAGCAAGTACTTTGGCTACATTACATATTTTGAACAGCACAAATTTAAATTTTAAAGGTGATTTATAAGCTTTACAAATTTAAATTATGAATATGACCCTTGGATCATATAATTTTTTAAGTATTTATGATACAGTCTATATTTTGTAGGAATGAAACTGAACAGCATCAATTATATAACAAAGAACATTAATTTTACTATTACTAAAACAAAAACTCAAAGTAAAATGTTATTTCTTAATATTCAAGTATCATACAGATAAAATGTTTATCAAAGTTCGCTATTTAATTACAGTTTCTATATATATAAAAAACAACTTTTGGCAAACAAATTTTAGTACCATATGAAAATGAATAAAATATTCAATCCATCATTAAACTGTTATCTATTAAACTCTGAAAAACTGTTTAAAAAATCTACTAAACAGGCAAATGGGAGAGAGAGAGAGAAAAAAAAGAGAGAATTAATTGGCACCTACAAATATTAAATTCCAAGGCAGTTTTTATGTATCAATGTTTTTTTTATTCAAACAATTAACAGAGCAATAAAATAGGTCCTGTAAAACCGCAATCTGTCATACATGTATTTCTATCACAAGCAAAAGATTGGAAGAGCAAGTTATAATTACAAAACAGCGAGTTGCAAAATATGAAATAGTGAGTCGACTAAATAATCTTGCTCTTATAATTGAAAGAAATTCCTATAACGCTTTATTTCTTTATTTCAGATAGACACCTATAAAGTAATTCATTTTAGATTCCTAATAAAAACTTATTTTATCACCCATAGTCATTTCCCTACAAACTTTTTCTGGGCTATACAAATTAAGTAAACTAGCCAACCTTGTTATTTGCAATTGAATTTGCAATTAAAAATAAAGTTGAGTATGTAACAAAATTTATGACAAATCAAAAATAATATATCGATATATCTTTGCTCGCCCATGATATTCTGGTCTCTTGAGCATAAACAAACCCAAACACACACATAAAAGTTATATCTTCAAATGAAAATGTTAGGCAAAATTATATACTGTAAAACACTTATTTTTCGCGAGAACCTTATTTCGCGAATTTGAGACAAAATGTCCAAAATAATTATTTTGCGTCAACATGAATTCGCGCCTTCCCGAAAAATGTGAAACCGGAAACCGATAACATTCAGATATTTTCTGTCCTGTCCATTCATTTACTTTGCATCGTTTATTGTGTGATGAATGCATTTATATCTGTATCGATTTTTTTCTGATATCTTGCATAACTTCTTGTTAAGTGAAACAAGTCTCATACATGCCATATCCCCCGCCGGGGGACAAAAACCCCCGATTTTCGACCATGTCTCCCGATCTCCCGCCGTGGGATCGAAATCCCCCGATTTTCAAAAATTCAACCAACAAAAAAATTAAAGCATCAATTTTACCAATAAACATAATAATTAAACAATAGACTTAAACAACTTTTACAACTATAATGCCTAAAGTAATATTTCCCCATTAAAAAGCAGGGGTCTAACGGATAATTGTATCGTTAGTTTCTCCGAAACTCTCCTTTGATAAACCTGTCAATCAGTGTCAGTATTGCAGGTGCTGAACCAATGATAGCGTCCAATACTGAATGTGTGACATATCAATTTTTGTAGGGCTTTGTAACCCCGCCTTGAGTTTGTTGTCAGCATAGGGTCTTTTAAGTTGATAAGTGCAGATAAAAAAATAATGATCAGGCAATAGAATCTCAAAGAATCACAGATAAGCAATGTTTTAAACTATTATTTTTTATGTAACTGTGATCTATGTTGTTGCAAAAATAATATAAACTAGCTTTGTCTCACGGTAAGCAACAAACACTGAGGTGTGAAGTACAGGACCTGAGGATTTGTGTCAGATTTTTTTTTACTGTTTATGAAGTGTCAACAGAAATTTTTTAAGGCAGCATTATTTTATTTCACCTTTCTATGGCTACAAAAATTCTCCGTGAAAATGTTGATTCTTTTCATTTAAAGAAAAAAATCTTTACCTTTCATTTAAGAAAAAATTTGGCTGTTAAAGTATATTTATTTTAATGATTTTGAATGCATCAATTTTAAGTTTATTTGTACTAAAATGATTCAATATATATCTGATATAACAAGCAATTATCATAGTATTGCAAGCAATCCATAAGTCCCCTACCGGTAAGAGCCCAAGCAACATTCTGAAGGGCCATTGGCCATTCACTTATGTTCCTATTTTAAGTAAATTTGTTGAAAAAGTTCTTTAAAAGTGATCACAGGAAACAGTTTTTATGTACAGACAGACGGACTGAAGGACACTCTAAAGTTATTTTTTAAACATCCCTGTTATCAAAATATAACATTTTTAAAATCCTATCATGATTGAAGAAGTTGGAGTAAAATTTACCAATTTCTCAAAAAAAAAGTCTAAGTTCAAAAGGGGCATAATTCTGGAAACAGTCTTGCTAGAGTTTTGAACACTCACAAATGTTGAGTGATAATAAGAAACATTCATATGAAGTTTGAAGTAGATACATTCAGAAAAAGAAGTTATTAAAAAAACAATGTTTTTTCATGAAAATTTTAAGTTCAAGGGAGGTAATTCTGATAAATTTTGTGCTAGAGTTGTAAACCTTGTCACATATGATGTGGTTGATGACAAGCAACTTATATTTAAAGTTTGAAGAAAATACCTTAAGAAATAAAGAACTTATAGTGAAAAAACTTAAAAACTAGAATCAGAAATCTTGAAATTCAGTCTTTTTGTTGCCATAGCAACCAGAATTTTCAACATAGGAAGATAAGAAAAGGATGTGCATAATTTCCATACTGCCATCTACCCATATGTCAAGTTTCATAAACATATTTTCAGTACTTTTTGTGTTATCACTGGATCCAGGTTATGTGTAAAATTTGCCATATTTTCAGTCTATTTGTTGCCATAGCAACCAGAATTTTCAACATAAGAAGAAAAGAAAAAGACGTGCATAATCTCAAGACTGCCATCTATCCATATATCAAGTTTCATAAAAATATTTTCAGTACTTTTTGCGTTAATCGCGGGATCCAGGTTATGTGTAAAATTTGCCATATTTTCAGCCTATTTGTTGCCATAGCAACCAGAATTTTCAACATAGGAAGAAAAGAAAAAGACGTGCATAATCTCCATACTGCCATCTATCCATATATCAAGTTTCATTAAAATATTTTCAGTACTTTTGCGTTATCGCGGGATCCAGTTTTGTGGACGGACGGACTGACGGACGGACAGACAGACAGACAGACAGACGGACAGACGGACGGAGGGTAAACCTAAAGTCCCCTCCGGTAAACCGGTAGGGGACTAAAAATGTATTTTAAATGATATACATGCAATTAATTATATTTGTTTTACAGGGATTACATCAAATATTTAAAGTACCTATGTTTATTTGCAATTGTTTACATATTATTCTTTTACAGTCAAGTATATTAAAACTTGAAAATATCAAATGATCTTGTAGAAATGTTCATTTTCATAATAAAATGGGGGAAATTTAATAATATGTTTGCATCATTTTAAGATTAAGAGTGGTTTGTGCTTGCTTAAAAATCCCCCTACTTTTGGTCCAAATCCCTGCTTTTTAAAGCCAAATCCCCCTATCTGGGTGGCTGGAAATATGGCATGTATGCTGTCTAAAAATATTTCAATAAAGTTTGATAATTATTTTATATGTGTTCACTGTGTTTGTCACAGGTATTGTTCAATAGACACTGACCTTGATAAATTGTCTTGAAAATTTAATTACTCCATTAAGTTGGACAAATTTTCACATTAATTAGAACAATCTGAAGAAATACCATTTAAATTTTGTGAGACAAATTAATTGTTTATTCTTAATTCTAGTGCAAGTCACACTTACCTTCCTTGACACAGGTAATACACAGCGTAGAATTTTATTTTCCAATTCCTCAATAATACCAAATTGTTACAAATAAATATTTCATACTAGTAATCTGTACGATATGTATATGCTGCAACAATTGAATAGCTACATGATGTACGATACTTTCCCGCAGATATATATCCATGTGTACGCATTTTCGGATAGTGTTCATTTTCGGACAAGTGTATAGTGAAATATTCGCGAGAAATATGAATTCGTGTCTTAGAAAACTCGCGAATATTAGCGAAAATAAATTTCTCGCGAATAATAAGTGTTTTACAGTGTTTGTTGTTTAAAGAATAAAGTTTCCTTGGTTTCTTTGGTCCATTTAATGATGATAAGAAATCACTTACCTGATATATCAACTGTAGTTAAATGTCTTCACTCTAAGAGAAAGGTGTGTGTTACCAGTTCGAAGTCCAGGAGAGAAGAGAGAGAGTTGTGTATACAAGAAGTCATGAAAGGCATGCTAAACTACATGTACATGTACTAATAGTGACTAGTGAAAAGTACTAACCGTGAGAATGACCTTTTGGGTAGAGTGCTACTGTAACACATCGTCGACACCCTTCTTTGAAAAAAGAACTGAGCATGCTCTCATTTTAACAATTGACCAGACAATTTACAAATAGAAATGTTTAAGATTGTAACTATAACATATACCTTATAAAAATTCATAAAAAAGTTTAATAGAAGAAATAAGTACAAACAAGCAATTATCATAGTATTGCAAGCAATCCATAAGTCCCCTACCGGTAAGAGCCCAAGCAATATTCTGAAGGGCCATTGGCCATTCACTTATGTTTCTATTTTAAGTAGACAGACAGACGGACTGAAGGACACTCTAAAGTTATTTTTTAAACATCCCTGTTATCAAAATATAACATTTTTAAAAGCAATATAAGTAAAAAGGAGATAAAGATGTCATACATGATGTGAGTGTAACAAGGAACAATTAGTGATGAAGATATGAATATTGAATGTTTATTTTGAATTTGAAGTAAATGAAAGTTAAAAGAACAAATAGAAAAAAATAAAAGTTTAAGGAGGAGATAATTCTGGAAATATGGATGCTAGATTTATAAACCTTGTCATATTATTATGATGTGGAAGTT